AGCTAGAGTAATTCGCGCTTCTTGAGTTTGAATTTCCATGGTAAATAGTTGAAGAAAACGTGTGTTGAAGTTTGAGGAGGCAGTGCCAAGGAAAAGTGATCGACTCGGTGATATGATCGACTCGCTGATAAACCACGTTAGAGATTTATATAAAAGAAAAAGATTTTGTAAACGTGTGGAGTCAACCACTACTTGCTGTGATAAGATACGGAGTCAAGTGTAAACTGCTATATTGAGCGAATAACAAAGTAAGGGAAGAAGAGAGTTCCAGAGGAACGGAAGCTTATATACAAGATTTGAGCAACACGCACGTGCCGTTCTACACGTGATCTACCCCTTGTCCCTCCAACTCCGTAACAGATTTAAAGGGGTAATTAAGGCTTTAAATCTATTATATCTTTATTTTAGTAGTATATATAAATCTAAAAACCTATATATTTAGATTTATAGCGGATTTATAGCTAATTTAATAAGAACTTATACAGCTATCTAAAAATCCTTGCATATATATCTAAATATACATGTAAGTTATATCTTATATAAAAACATATACATACAAATCTTTTCATATGGTGCAAATCTCTTAATTTGCGTAGCTAAACATGCCCTTAACCACAATCCCCCTCTCACTAATCCACAAAATAATCAATTCCATCCGAAAACCCCGCCCCCCCAAGCGTCGCATGATCACTATGAGGAAAAACCCTCAACAGCTTATCCCTCACCCACCCCCCATCCACCAACTCAAAAAACGCCTCACAGTTATCCTGCATCGCCAGTTCCGCGTAGAAGTCTTTTCGCCACTGGTACCGCTCCCACGTCTCCGTTCGTCGCTTAATGGGATATTGCTCTAAAGCCCCATAACTGAGTGCGAATGCTGGCTTGGTGAGATTACGCTTTTTGTGGAGTGAGGAGTTGTGGCCGAGTTGTGCGTATGATAAAGCGTGAAGAAGGAAATACCGGTCGTACCACGCGAGGAAGGGACTCGATGCTAGGTACGTATCGAAAAGATACGGGTGTGTGAGTAAAGCAAAGAGGATTAGCATCCCACCCCCGGAATGGCCATATATCGCATCGCGCGTGAATTGCACATTTGGAAATAGAGTCTTCTGCACGAATGGACGGACTTTTCCATCTACGAAGTTCAGGAATTCGTCGGCCCGCGATGTGACGCCTGTGGTTGTGTTGGAAATAGGAGGTGTGCTACCGTTTAGTGTTGGCGGGATGTAATCTGCGTAGCGGAGGTCGCTGTATGGACTGCTTGTGAGAGGGTAGCCGATGGAGACGACGATTATGTCGGTTTGGTCTGAATCTACGGGTTTGCGACGGTGGACTGCTTCGCTTGCGGAGGAGCCGAGGGCGTTGGCGTCGAGGACGTACCTGGATTTTGTTTTGTTAGTATTCTTACGGTGTGATGGGGTTTTGGAAAGTTGGGGATGGAGATGGATGTACATTGTTAGGGCTGTGGCGTTTACATCCCGGGAAGTCCACTCGAAGGGCCGGGAGATTTGGACTTGGTATTCGATTCCGAGGGAGTTAGTTATGTTCCAGAGTTCGACGTTGGGGAAGACGGTTGGTGGGAAGGTGGTGAGGGGGTGGGGTGGGTAGTTTGTGAGGGACATTTTTTTGTATGGTGTGGATTGGTCTCCCAATCTACAAATTTGTGTATGGTCCCTGGGGGGTATGTACTGGATATAACTTTAATCGGAATTATCCGATGTAATTTACTTCCTTGTTAATTTGTGAAGAATCGAAGTCGTTTTATGTAGGTAGACGTCACGCTTTTCAGTACCCCGCTATTGGCTATACAGTAAGCAATGTACTTCTACGAGCTGACCTATAGGATTTGATGACATTTTGGGTTACATTGACCATGTAATCAGGCTGAAGTCTTCAAAAGATCGTCGTGAATTTATTTGTTTTTTCGACTTAGAATAATTAGTTGGGATATTAAAATACTGTAATTACTCGAGATTCAAAGACAATTAAATGTTGTAGCTTTTTTTCATTCTCGTAAAATAGTTGGGCTAATAGGGAAGTGGTAGTATGGTCTGGATAGAGTAAATAACACAGACCGGTTTATTGTAATCTTTTCTGTTTATACATTAGGAGACTATAAAGTCCAAGCGAACCCCTTTCTCCTCCTCTCTTTCTAGCGAAGTATCCACCATCACATTTCTATTGAACGACAGCGAGATATAACACAATACATCCATCCCTAGGAAGAAAACCCGCCCTTACGACCTACTGCTAAGCAAGCAACAGCCTCGTTACTCCCTCGGAAGAATTCTGCCAAGAAGAAAAGAGTTGCAATTACTCTTCTTGTTCACTCTGCCTATCACTTCTGTGAATCTAGCTTTTCCCCATGAACCGCTACTTACGAATCGCTAGGCAAGTGGTTCTCATAGCGTTAAATGAGTGTATTGAAAGTTTCACTGCTGAAGCTGAGCTTGAACAATTTCGGCTGGAAGACTTAAGGATAACGAGCAAGATAAAATGGGTCTTGGAATATAGAAGGAAGTCAGTTTGCGATTTGACTGAATTTCTTCACAGATGATATTATCAAGGTCTACTCGGGAGAGGATATGGCTAAGTTTGTATGTATGGATTTCGTGCATTTTCTGGATGGAATGACTTGTGAGTTAACGAATCGAAAATCCCGGGTCTGTTCTCTTATTACGTGGTTGAATCAAGTGAGTGAACTCTGGTTTCTTCAAGATAGGGAGTTTGGAGGAATCTTGGCTGCGGTTTTGCATCTCGCTAATCATTTTTGTACAAACAAGACTAAGTAGTAAGCTAATCAGACCTTCCCATGGGAGTTAATATAACATTATATTCTGGTAGACCTCGACGTATCTTCGATTAATAAGATATAGTTTCTAACCACTTTCTGTAACATGCTGCTTGTCAAATCAGACGTTAAATCTCCCCATTTGCAAAAATCAAGGCATAGAAAGGGCCACCATTCAAGTCGTCGCTACACGCACCCGAAGCAATTTGTCGCTCCGCTATTGCCGCTATGTTGTTCTTGCTCAGAAACAGCCTACATTGTGCCATTCCTGATAAGTCATCCAAAAACCCACTAATTGTAGCAGATCCTGGAGTAACATAATTCACTCCAGGCGAGGAAAACGAATCTTCCCACCCTCCTCGCTTCTGTCTATATACCCGCTACTTTCCTTACAGTTTGTATTTCCAAGCGCCCTAAGTTGGAACATAACCGACTTCAGTTAGCCAGACGGTTTTTGGGATGGATGGAGGAGATGAATGGCTTATCCTAGCCTTTAAAATGGTACTTCCCATCGGCTATTCCTCTTGTGATCTTAAGTATCCTCGTTTCCTTCGGCATTGTGTAATCCTTGAACTTCCTTTGGCGACACGTGGTGGAATGAGACGTTGTTTGAGATTTCATTCATTAGAATCTGGTCTTTACGCTAGCGGTGCTTACTTTGTACTTGGAAATAGTGGCCTTTATGGACGAGCAGAAGGGCTTAACATCTGTGTGTTCTTGTGGTGGATGAAATGAGTGAGTGGTAGTGAATTAAACCACCTTGTTGTTTCTTCTTTCTGGGCTACCCTAATTGGTTAATTGAACTTTGCTCAGAACAATTCATCAAATCCAGTGAAATGTTCTAGAGACTTTCGATTTGCAGTTTTACTTTAACAATGCCAAATGATTACAACAAGTGTCAAGCAATGGCTACTGAGGAAAGGATTGTTGGTAGCAATTAGTAATTGGAAAGGAGTGGAAGCAATCGGACTTTATTCAAGTTCTAGTTACTTCGAGAAGAGGAGTTATGAAGTGTAGCTACTGTTCAAATATAGAATTCTAGGGCACAGGACCTGACCAGAAGCACGTAGATACTCAAAAGAAAAAGATGTCAACTAGGCTATGCTAGCCCGTGTTTTGGCCACTATGAGGCCAATAGAGCTCATTCATTATGTTTTTGTAGTTTTTGAAGCTGGTTATGGTCGAAAAAAGATCTTGGCTGGCACTTATTCTGCTGGTCACCAAGTATTCTACTGCTCTCATTACCTGGACCTGCAATTCACTCTACCGTACCCGTACATTATGCCTAATGGCACAAATGACTCGTTTAGCATAATGCTGGCGACTTTCAACGATCGATGATACATTTTGACAATTCCTACCGCCAATGTTTTAGGAATCTCTTGGTTTAACTGAGCTTGTCAATTGGCCAGCAATGAAATAAATCGGACTTAGGGTATTTGGATCGACTTCTTGGAATTATCGAATCCACGTCAATAGGATCAAAAGCTACACAAGAACCCACAAGATGAGTTTTCTTGACTCAAAATATAATACATCGAAGAAGAAAAAAGCCCCCCTCAACCCCCCAACATCCTTCTGAATCTATACCAACAACTTGGCTTTAGTACCTTTCGCTTTAAAGCACTTGTCTTGCGAAGGAATAACTTCGTTTTGGTCCCACTAAAGAAAGAAAATTATTTTGGTAAACCAATGTTAGAGGGAGATACATACGTGTTCGTGGACACAGCCGTCAACCCAGCGCCATCGGTCGGTGGTGGAGTACTTGGCGTAAGACATGTTTGAAGTGGCGTCGAAGCAATGAGATGTGCTTGCCTCTGTTCCCATCGGTTTGCCATTGCAGAAAAGTGGCCAGATGGCTTGTGGACCGCTCGCGTATCCTGGGTGATGTTGCTGTGATGGGTTAGATAAATGATATATGTTGGGAATGTCAGTAATAATAGGGGTTGGGATTGTTGATGAGATTTACACCCCCTTGCTGAACAGCAGATTATTCTTTGTATGTGGAGCCAAAAGAATAACTTGCTGTTTAGGGAAGGGAAGGGGGGGTCGATACAAGGGATCAACTTCTTATAAAAACTTCTCTTCCCCTCAAAATCTCCGGCGGTAAACCAAACTCGACATCTATCAAATGCAAGACTTACAATATAAGCAGAGTCAATCAACGAAAACATCGTCCTCGGATCCCCATCAACAACAAAAGCCCTATAAAACTTATACGCCCTAGCAGCCGTCTCCTCAACCGTAACCTTTGGGTCAGGTTTACAAATCGCGGGTGGTTCCTTCAAACTACACAAGTTCTCTCTCTTATCGAGTGCCACATCACTAGCTGGAAACGCAAGAGCGGTAATAGGTCCCAAGACCGCGACGGAAAGGACTGAGAAGCGCATTTTGACGTGAAGATCAGTGATAAGATAATCTGTATTTTTTGGGGCACCACCCAGTCCCTATATAGCCATCAAGATACGGCCCCGCATCCCTATTCCCTGGTTACAAGGCAAGTACGATGGGGGGTGGGTACGGAGCTGCCTATTCAGCCAATATCCGGGGTTCTCTTGGTATTTTAATTTAGGGATCTTCCCGAACTCTATTTTGACGACCAAAACTTGCGGGTGATTTACCTAAAGAGGGGAGAGGGGACACATCACCAATGGCACTTTGGCTAGTAAATAAAGAACAGGCTCTAACATGGCAGTCCAATTGACGAATCGAAGACGCCTGAAACATACGCATTAATGTGGGTTTATATATGATCTACGTGCCGGGGTGGTGGGAGCCGGCAAATCATCCCCCCTTCCCCCTTTAAGCATGAAACTGGCCATCATGTGGGGCGGTCCCTTTTACTCCCGGAGATGCCCCGGACAACGATAACAAGTGCCGAATTTCTCAATCCATGGTACGGAGGGTAAATTTACTCTAAAGTACGAAGTACCATGGCCTAAAGTGAAATGGCATCTCCCAGCAGAGGCGTCAGGTCGTTGTAGATCTAAAGTTTATGTGAACCGTTCACGTTCATGGAAGCACGTGTTAAGTCAGTTAGAGGTAAATCATGTTGGGGCAATGATCCATTAAATCAACAAACCGTTTGGCTCATTCGTAGGATAAAAATAAAACAAAGGGTCTGGACAGCTGGCGTCGCCCCCTCCCCTGTATACGACTCGTTATAGGCAGGGTATAGCCCCATAATATAACCCTCTCAGCCAATTGCATTGTCCGATTCATGTGGAGGTATATCAGAAAGTGACACGCGGGGGGGGGAGACCCGAGCTGTCCAGACCCTTTACCACTCCCAATAAAGAGATCTGGCTTTATTCGGAAATACACCATACAAAATGTAAATACAGTACTAGCCTGTTCGGCTCAAATTAGGGTGAATTAGATTATTCGGTAGCGTACCCTAGGATTCATAAAACTCACAAAAACTCTATTCGCTTAACTCGGAGTCTTATTTAGATAATTCGAATTACATATCGTTCGGACTGAATTCCCTACTATACTGTACTTAGACGTGTGATCTCAACTACTTACCTATTCTACTAGTTATTCTACTACACCTATTCTATTACGTGTACTCGTACGACGTCCTTGACGTCCTTAATAAAGGGATTTCATAATTTATATATAAATATATGCTTATATATATAAAGAAGTCGGTAAAGTATAGGTGGTAGTAGTAGTGGTGGTTGCGGTGGGTGGAAAAAGCGAGTTAGGAATACGGGATTCTGGATATAGCTTAAAAGCCGTTTTCACTCTTTGTATAGGATATTTCGTAAAGATCTAAATCACGATATTCGGAGTAGTATTTGCTATAAATTCGATTTACGAGCCGAACGTTTTTAGCACTCGATGCGAATCAGGGCTCGTATCGAGTACTAAACTCTAATTTGTATAGTAGAACCTGGATTTGGATTCAGGATTTTTTCGAGCCGAACAGGCCGTACAAGACTCGTATTGACATTATTCCATTCGCTTATTTCACCTAGCGTAAACACTACTACTTTATCCACCAGTTTATATATATAAGCACCTAATACACCCCCTTCTTCAAAGAAGTGGAGTGCACGATAGGAGAGCTAAAACCGTAGCAATTCTAGCTATATCTAGTGTATTCGCCGCGTCTTTATACTACCGGAACAAAAACTCTGTACTACCGTAGGCTACAATAGACGATAATTATATCCAAATGATACTTAAATCGAATATAACTCCGAGTAATACTTCCATTATTTAATTAATTTCAGATTATTCCGAGTTTTATAGAAACCAGGGTACGCTACCGAATCAACTAAACTTTATTATTCCGAGCCAAACAGGCCCTTACTATCTAATCTGACATACGAAGTAGAAAAGAATTCGGGGGTGCAGGGAAATGTGGAAAAAGGCTCCAAGAACACCAAAGTTGATGAAACATGGCGGATTTGAACATAAGGATTCGGCTCCCATTTTTGAATGCCAGCCCACAAAGGAAGAATACTTCTAAAAAGTACATGTATGTGATTTATCTGGAACAATCGACGAAATTTTCAAATGCACTAGCCAAAAAGAAATCGCTGAAATTCAGCCACAAAGTAAGTTTGCAACCAACCAATGAATATAACTACATGCTAAGCGAAACATCGGCCCTTACTACAAGCACATACTGTAAGATACGGCGTATTAAAAAAACCATTCCAAAATATGCTTTACCTTCTGTGGGATCCTTTCTCTTTTTTAGAACATCCAAGCTCCCATCTCTTATCAGACCCCCCTTTATCTCCCTTCAAATGTTCTCCCACCTTCACTTCAAGCTTTTTGTAACGCGAAACCTCATGAACCTCGCCTAACTCCGCAGAAACCATCCAGCTCAAACACCACCCCGACTATCAAAAAACCCACATGCCCTACAACTACAAAAACCGCTCCCACCCACATACCATAGAATTCTCCCGTTCGTAAAAATATAAAACTCATCAACACCTTTCGGAGTTTTAACAGGCCGGAGCAGTTTATGTTATGAAGCATCAGGCCCCACCATAAGAATGTTATCTCCCACGTCGAGTTTGTGAGCAGCCCAATCCACGAATCTAATGCATGCATCTCCAAGAAACTGTAAAACAATTCAAGCAGAGGGAAGAGAAATGGATATCTGTGCTCTAGTCTACGACCTTAGACCGAATGCAAACAAGGAAAAAGGGATGGAATCTCAGTGTATGAAAGAAACACTCAATTATTAAAAGAGTACTGGAGTACTATCTAAATATGGAATAAATGAGTTCTAGTGGATTTTACTACTTCAGTATTATAATTGAAGAATATCAGTTTGCAGTAGTGTTCTGGTGATACTCATGAAAGGTTTGGAGGTCACGTGGGCGCGTATGCCACTCGGAGCTATAAAGTGTCAGGGGAGAGCGAATTAGCAAAATTGGCTTTATCACCGATGGAAGGTTTGCAGCTTGCTAGGTTGTTCGATGTAAGTTTGTTGTCAGGACTCAAGAGAATTGGGATGAAATTACTCGCCGAAAAGGGAGCCCATGACAAGCAGAAGTACTTTGCTACTGCCAATGACTGTAAGAAGCAAGTCCTTTCCATCAGGGGAAGTAACTTGGTTTAATGCATTTCTAGTGCACCACTCGATGCAAACAGAGATGTTGAAGCATACATGATATCTCTTGGTCTTATCTGCAAGTCAGGCGGCCCCACCGACGTCGTAAATCGAGAGATAGCCAACTTCATCCCAAATTCGGAGCAGCTGTCAGTGTACAAAAACTTGGAACCAATGAAATACGAGCAAGTGGGAGCCATCGGTGTTGAGGAAGTGCTCAAGGGGCTTGAAGTTTTTGAAACGCGTAAGAGCGATGGCAGAAAGCTTGTAGTGAGGGTAGGCACAGAGTGAAGGGATGCCCCGGTTTCCTCTATGCTATGTTTCGTGAGAAATTGAGCATCATTTGTAGAATACTGTATCAAAGATGAATGGAAACACAGCAGAGGCACACTGATTGGTTGCTTCGTGTTGGATTTACGTCCGAAGATGCCCTATTCCCCAAGACGTCCATCTGAGTAATATTCAAAGTCTTTTGGTACAGGAGCGTCTTCCTTCGCCTTTGAATTGTCCAGAAGCCGGAATGGATTTTGCGTGCCAGTCGTACTCGCCATTGACACGGAAGGTCCAGGCATGACTGTGGAAGGCAAACCGCTACGAACGTGTTTGGTCATGAAAGCAGCCCATTCCCAAGGTCTCAGACAATCGCCCGGTAAAGAATTGAAATACTCCCAGCCCATGACCCCGCCAAATCCCGGATATCTTAATTTCAAGGTTATCAAGACTTCTTGTAGAACCTCAAATGGCACCCATCCACTTCCATTTCCGGGATTCGTGACCATGCCTACGACGATTTTATTGGCGGGGTATCCTCTCGCAACCATAAAGTCGAAGCCATCGGTTTTGCTCAGGTCGCCCCATCCGCAATAGAATTGCGTGTTGTACCAGCCGATTTGCTTTCCCCTCATTACCTCCAGCGCCTCGTAACTAAATCCACTCAGGTTGTGTTTTTGATTGTCGGACATGAGGGCCGCCGCAACAGGTGCCAGCGTAATGATAAAACTCTCTCCGAAATCCGATTTCAGACGGTCAATTAACCGTATGATTCCTCTCAGCGACATTGGTTCTTCTACATCCAGATCCAAGCCATCGAGCCCCATATTTCGCACCAGATCTCGCAGAGGACGGTAGTATAGTTCGAAAGTGTTTTCGTCGCCATCCAGTCGCTCGAAACTACCCTTGGCTGCACCACCTACCATTCCTAGGATTTTGATGTCTGCAGCCTGGAGGGCTCGAAGTTCTGCCCAAAGGGTGGCATAGCGCTGATTGTCCGGGGCATGATCATTCTGTGGTTGTCGGTCTGTTAGCGAGCGTAAATATTGGGTACTACGTATGCTTTCGTAACTAACCAGAGTGATGTTCCCAGGTCCCTCGTTCAAATGGATGGCAGCTACGTTGACATGTGTGACGGCGATGTTTGGTTTCGTCAAGATGGGAAGAATAGAGCACGATGATCCGTCGGGGTTGTGATGTGTCTGATAGTAGATAACAATTCGAGGGGTCGGAGCAGCGGGTACGGGAGGCATTGGATGTTGTGAAAGTGGTTGTCGTACAATACAATATGCTTTCTCAGCGGGGAAATACGGTGCTCGTCCACCTGGCCTTGGCGTTTAACCCCCTGTACTCGAGTATCGCAGCCGAGACTCCAATCATCCAGTCAACACCGCTCATAAATAGACTGATTTCCGAGAACAACGTGTAAACAGGTTCAGTATTTCCTCTGACTTAGAAATAGGTACTCAATTCCGAAGCTCCCCCAAACTGAATTACAATATCGTAGAATAGGTTCGTAATAGACAAGAAAGGCCGCAGTCAAGAGCATCATGATGCTAGTTCCCTATACAAATCCTTCATTATTCCAGAATATCAGCGAATCAATTGAAATTGTTATCATCCGGCCTTCCAATGGGATAATTAGAGTCATTGGCCCAAATAGCTAGGCACTGTAGGTAGATTAAAAGCCTTAGCCGAGAGAACGGACAGTGCGATAAAGATTCACGCCCACTTTTCAAATCTCTCAGATGCTAGACTTCATTGTATTAGTATAAACTCTAGAATTTGGGGCTTATCTAACATGGACTTCAATTTGTTGTCTTCTAAATCTTCCCCTCTATCTTCTGCCTCATTACTCCCTAAAACAATACATGTCATCCGCATCTAAATCCACTCTCTCATCTCATTATCCTTTCAAAAGCCTATGGTGGCGATCTCTCAATTTGACATCTCCACGAACGGGCCTGCTTATCCCAGAACTGTCCCTTTTTCACACCACGTTGATAGTCATGCAAATTGATGATTCCTGGCGCCACGATATTACCATACATCTCACAAAAGTCGATCCCGCCGCAATCAAAGGCAGTAGATTCTGTTAACTCAGATCTCAGGGGATAACTTGTTTCGCTTTCAAGCTTAATTTAGGGTAGTGGTAACTTACTCAAAGATACAGCACCCAATTTTAGTTTGTACAGAATCTAGGGGGACCAATGAAACGATACTCTTATCCAAGCCATTGGATAGATTGACTGACTAGGTGTTATTATGTGGAATTTCGCCTCTACAGGCCAACTATACAAGGTGGAAGGGAGGCACGAGGTAGCAGTATAGAGGCTACATACTGCAATTTTGAAAGGGACTACGAAGTACCTCATCCCTTCCAGTAAAATCAAAGCGGTCATTAACCCATAGGTCTGCATCTTTAGGCTCCTCTGGTTTCTTTGGAAGCTCTTCATCTTCATCGGGGCGATCATCATCTCGTACTGCAAAGAATTTTGGTTGGCTAATGGAAATAATTTCATCAGGCAAACTATTTGGTGCTGCCGCATTCCCTGTATTCACGAATGCAGTAGCTGGAAAAATGCATAATTTTAGCGACTAAACTTCACCTTCTCTCTGGAACAGATTGTCGAATCTGCTGATTTCGTGACGGAAGAATGTGTCTCATGGGTTGTTCAAAACGTCCTGGAAGAGGGTCTTATATGGAAACGCCAGTTTGGCTATGAGCCTCTTTTTGTTTTGTTTTTCGATATCTCCAAACAACCTCAACTCAATTTTGACCCAAGTCTGAATCGTTGGAACCATAAAACATATCGACGAAGTGAGTAAGTGCTCAAATCCAGCGAAGTGAAGATCAAAACTAATGTCCATGAGACACGTCCCACACCGCAAGAGTCAATGATCGTTTGTCGATCGATTTTTTGCATCTATCAACAGCGGAGCTCAGTCTGCGTTCGTGTGAGTATGTGTGTTACATTAAAGCATGATGTCGAAGACAGAAATTTTTGACGGGCTTGTCGTGGCAGTTGTTTCGCGGTCGTGCTGGTGATGGTCTCATGTAGGTGCATATTGTGAAGAAAAAGAATCATTGAGGACTGGGGTACATACAGTAGCTGCGGCAATTTGGGCGGACCAGCCGACTGTTAGTACTTGAGTACTGCAAACACCGCGCAACGCGGCCCTCATGTATCATTTCTATTGCACTCTTCGAACTCGACAAGCCTGTCCAAGAACTAAGAATCTTGCTCTCCCATACAATTTCCCGCCCTCATTACGCTAATCTCGCTAGGCGATGGCAGGTCCCACTGGTAACCATGCCAACTATCAGGCATGATTGAATTTTGTGCAGGACCAGCTTCAAAAACAATTCATCCTCAAGGTCGGATTCTCTCACGGGTTCTCCCTTCAACTCAAATGAAATCTAATTCGAATTCTTCAGGGGAAAACCGAGATCACCCCAATTCAATATGACCCAACAACTCCATTCAAATATAACAACTTTGTATATCGTATCAATTTCACAGGGGCTATGCTTGTGGACGGATCGAACGCTCGACAACCCAGATGTGTTCCAATTCCTCATGGCACCAAAGAGCTTATTTTTCGACTTGCCAATCCCGATGCTGTACAAGGGATGAACCCAGCCACACGCATCGAGAACGAAGTAGCAATCATTGCCTTAGCTTCGGCTGCGTTGAAGCATATACATCCGCGAATAGTCCCTTCAGTCTACGGCTGGGGAAGTGCGGCTCTGCAATCGTCGCCAGGCTGGATCATTCAAGAGCTCATGCCAGGCACGCCAGTAGACGAGTCTTTCGATGACATGAGTCTCGAGAAAAAGCGCAGTATTCTTGAACAGATGGGCAGAATACTAAAATCTCTGCAAGATTATGAGCTTCCTCCCAGTATTACTGGTTATGGAGGCGTCACATTTGATGAGACTGGCCGTAAGATCAGTGCTGCGATGACTAGCGTTGGTGCAGGGCCTTGGGATTCTTATGAAGCATCTTTTGAAGGACGGCTTCGAGTGGCGCTTCGGAAAGCGAATCAAAATCCGTATATTCAGGGATGGCGAGCAAATGGCTTGAGAGAGCGCTTGGATGCTTTCGTAAAGCGCGGTGTCCCAGCCCTGTTCGAAGCACTGGGCTCAAAGCATGACAGAGTCATTATACATGCTGATTTTAGTAATTCATCTCTCAAGTGGCTCTCTGGAGATAGTACCAGTCACCATCAAGCTTATCATGTCTTTTCACATAACTACAGGTGCCAATAACCTCCTATTTGATGCCAGAACGGGTAGTATCACAGCACTCATCGACTACGACTTTGCTTGTATCTCTCATCCATCCTATGAGTTTTTCCGCTCCTTCGATGGCACTGGCGGCCAGTTTAGAGGCTGGATAGGAGATGAGGCAACAGAGGACATGTTATTAAGAGAGGCCAAGATTCATGGATTTCCGGTGCCACTTCCGCCAACTACCGAGCATGGCGTTCAATGGGAAGTGGTGGCCGCGTGGGAGGAGGAGTTGGAAAGGTTGGGGGTTAAAAGACTACAAAGCATGCCGGGGATTGAGAAGGTGGCGGATGTGGATACTATTTTAAGATGTATCTTGCCGTGGAGGGTTTCCAATCTCGATGTTTTGAGGTTACAGTCGGAAGCTGTCATTATGAGGTGTAGGAATGATAACGAGAGGCAGCTGGTGAGACTACTGAGTCGGACGGGTTTCTGATTCAGCTTACTTGAGCTGCGCATGTAGTATTTCATAGATATGTAAGAAACATGTAATATTATCATTAGACTTAAGTATTGTTTTGGTAAGATTACAAGATTGGTAATTTTACAAGTTGAATTTAGGGGCGGCTCATAGTACTTGATTCGTTTAGTGTTACTTAACCTCTGGAGTTGCATAAATCGGCCAGCTCACTTGGAAACTTTAGTAAGTTTTCTAGGTTTGGAGGTGGGGAGAATTATCAGTTCCCATTTCAGTCTGCGAAAGCCGTTTAGTACCCCTTTGAGTTCTAACCAAGAGGCCGGTATCTTATGAGGGACTGAGCTAGACTTTCCAACAAATCTATTCTCTCTATTCACATAGTATGAGATTAGATCTTTCGATTGGAAAAGGTCAATAAGGAAGATATGGTGTTGTCGGCGCAGTATCGCGATCCTATGTATAGGCTAGGAACGATCAGTCATGTCATCATTTCACGTATCAGGTCATAAAATCATGTAGATGTTTCTCATTGTTTTGTAAAGAGCTAAGGAGAGCCAAGAAAAACAACAAGTTTCTCCGCTGATATACTTCTAGACTTGAGCAACTCAATGCCATCAAGGACTCCCTGCCATTCACCAGGAATAATTCTCGTAGGATGAGGAACCAGCTTTCGCGCATCAAATAACTTCTGAATGTCACGATAGTACTTGATTCCAAAAACCCGCTTCTCTGGATCGGCTTCGCTACCGTACCCATTTCCCAACGGAATCGGATTGCCGATAATTGAACAGCCCATGATGAATGTCGGTTCAATGCTTTCTCGAGTATGATTCATGTCCTGCCAGACTTCCAAGGCAATATATCTACCACCTCCCCGTCCCATGGCTTGATAACAAAGTCTTTGCGTCTTCGCTTCTGTCATTGGGTCTAATATGAGCTCAAGTTCGTCACCAGTATATTCTTTGATGTCTTGAGCACAGGTAGGAGATTTATAATCCCACACCACCTCGGCTCCGCGAGATTTCACGAGCCCGAAATTAGCAGGCGAGCAAGTTGTGAGTGGGATGTGGCCATAGCTTTTGGGTACATATGTCAACTAGTTTTCAAGGCAACAACGCGGAAGAGGTTAACAAAAGATGTGATGGGAGATAGACGACTAACTTTCTCAGAAGCTGTATAGCAAGTGTTCCAACGGAAGTACTCCCAGCGTAAACAAGAACCTGCTCTCGCTCCCCTTCCACAGCCGGATTCTCAGGTGTACCTACCAAACCCATACCACCCTCCCAAAAAAGCGACAGCCCCAATGTTGCAATACCACTTGCTCCCGTTGCCGCTGCAGCCTCCCAAGATATATATTCGGGTTTTCTGAAAAGAAGTTCTGGGTCTGCACGAATGTACTGTGCAAAAGCTCCTTGTTCTGGATCGATGGCATTCGCACCGTGACAAGCTCCGAACACCTCATCGCCTATCCCCCAATTTGGTTTGGAGGGCAAATCTTCTACGTCTTGACCGATGGCTACGATGATACCAGCGAAATCGGTGCCGTTACGAACCCCTGGACTGGGGAATTGAGAGGGCATTTTGCAGTCGCATGGATTGAGTGCTACTGCGATGACTTTTACTAGCATTCGATTGGCTGGAACTCGAGGAAGTGCTACATCCTGTGTAATTTGAAGCGAACCATCCTTAGTTTGTAGTATTGCGGTTTGGGTTCTGGGAATGTGTGGAGGGATCGTGGCAACTGTCATCGGCGCCATATTGTTCTGCCTCGTTTTTCACCTTTGGTCACTTGAAGGTATACAGATCCACAAATTGAGATGTACGTAAACAGAATTATTACTGAATGGGAATGGAAATTGCCAGTCGAGATTTGTTACAAGAGACCACCATTCGGCGTTGTCAAATCCCCAAGTTAGGGTTCGGTAAGCGAACGAGGAGATTCGGCCCCGAATCATTGTAGGGATTCGGTGCACCATCACCGATTTTAAAAATCTTGTCTCAGACACACGCTGATCATGTGAATCATATGCTGTGAGTACCAGATCAATCTTTCGTCTAGAACAATGCAATTTTTACTGAATAGCCACCCTTCACGAAACCCGACATGATGTACTTCTCAAACGCCAAGCTCACTGTTTTGGTGTTATTTGACAGCTTCTTCTTTTCAAAGGCCTGGGAATATGATTTCCCAGAAGGATGGGAATCGCAATGGACTGGAAACGGCCAACATCAAGCCATCTTGGGTAATGTTGGGAAGTGCAGAACAAGCCACATGAAAGCATTCGACACTGCCAAGTCTAATGCAGACATCTGGCTTTCCACCAGCCCCCTCGACGACTTTGAAGCTCCGAAGATTCTGCCTTTGAACTCCAGCACGGGCGAGCAGTGGGAGTTTGATGGTATCTCAGATGATGGAATGTTTGCTTTCATATTTGGATTCTATCGCGATCCAGGTCTCTCGCTTATGGGAACTGGGAACCTGAGGATCTCAGCTGAACTTGCGTATGCGAATGGAACTCGCTTTGGAAGAGTGGATTATGCGAGTGACTCGATTGTAGATTCCTGTCCCGACGGAACTCGAGGCGTTTGGAAAGGGGGCGACTTCAGTTACCAATGGGAGGTCTCGAAGGATATGAGTCGTATGCGACTGGGAACGATAACGCCCGATTTGAAGGGCAATATTTTCATGACTTCAAGAACTCTTCCCCGATACGCAGATGCTTCGACTTGGCCTTCAGGAAATGCTACCACAGAGATCTCGCCGCATTTCCACTGGGTCGAACCCATTCCCGTGGGCGATGTCAAGGTAGATTTGACTGTGAAAGGAGAGAGAGACTTTACATGGCAAGGCCTGGGAGGTCACAATCGTCTGTGGTCACCTTTCAATTGGTTCACCTGTCTCAAGGCGATGAATGCAGTTCGGATGACTGCGGGTCCTTATTCCCTGTCTTACATGAAATTTACATCTAGGATTGATGGGGAAGACCACTCGTCGATTCTCCTCATGCAGGACGGTAACAAACTATTCTCGAGTACGCTAGGAGAAGAGTCTCAGACCGAGGACTATGTTTTGATGACCAAGACCTACGATGGTGCTGTCACGGGTACGCTGCGGGACAAAGTTACTGGCTACGAGCTTGAACTAGTCTCGCCCGGCAGGAAGAAACACTGGACTTTCATCATGGAGCATAAAAACATTGCGTTCGAGTATTTGGTTGGGAAGGGTCGCGGTGGAAGTGGATTTTCCTGCAGCTCGAGTGGTGGGCCTGTCGGTCTGGAGCAGTTTCGAGGTGTTGCCTTGACTGAAGCTCTGAATTTTCCAGACAGCACTCCTCTCTTTACCAACCAGTACAAGAAATGAAGCATAAACTGCACTTAGCAGGATGGCCGATGATTCAAGATAAGGGGGAGGAAGCGAGGGTTAGCTGGTATATCATCCCGGGCTCGCTCACATACATCTGTGGCGAGGAAGACATGAGGATAGATATTGGCTACGAACGCTCCACATCTTATATGTGTCAGGATGTTGCCGAATAAACAGAGACACAGATACAAGAAAAACAATATTTCGTAAACTAATAGCTAGCTTTCACAGCTCACGAACAAAATCATAAACAATTCTCAATCTCAGTTCCTTGTCACCTTTCTTCGTTACACTGTGTCTCGTGTGATATCTTTTACCCCCAATCTCCCCAAATCCCCACACCGAGCTGGTCGACCATACATTTCCCAAACTCTTCACCCTGTCCAAAATCACAGTTTGTGATCCGCTCTCCTGCGTACTGACGAGCACTTCAGCGTCCGGAATACTCGAAATAGAGCTATACTCTGCCTGAACCGAGATACGACCAAATATTGGGACAGTGTGTTCTCGGGCCACCGAGTCTAGGATATAAGTATCCTCCGAATTGAAGTTTCCAGGAGTAACAGTCTGTTTTACGCGGATGGTCGAGATGGGTGGTTTCTCTTCGTTTGTATGGGGGCCAGAGCCATCAGGATCCTGGTTTCTATGTTTCATTGAAAGTCGAACGGTAGTGAAAGCTAATAACTTGCGCAGTAGCCAAGAGATACCTTGCTATCAAGAACACAATTCTTAGCAGCCACCATTGGCTATGGGAAATATGACACTGTTTACCAGTGCAAACATTTGATCAATATCATCTGATAGAGCTCGGTTCTTGAATAATGTTAGGGAATGAATCTTCTAGCGTACTACCAATGTCGTACTAACGATTTGCCATACTCCTGTCATGTTAAAGACTGTTTTGGAAGCTGGAGCTGCCATATTTGGCACGTGAATCCGACAATTAGGAAACCAGCAGGACTGTGTGAAAATCCTAGGTCGAATTTTGATGAGGTCAAGGTGAAACTACGCAAGTAATGGCTTCTGTATGAGATGAGAACTGAGTGGGATCTGCGTCGAGTTGACAGTTCGCCATGTATGAGGATGTATCGGACCCGGCGTTTGAAGTGTTTCGGTGTGTAATATCGAATATGGACAACGCATCGGGATCTAGAAACCAGCACACCGAAAAGGAACTAACTAGCATAGGATTCAGCTTATGCTCAAATCTACTTGGCACATGTAACCTCTTATTTCAACTGCCCATCAGAAACGAGAAAACCAGATATAGCGAAGGCACGATATTCCAACCGAAACTCAACTGCGACGCACAAAACAAGCCGCGAAGATGGCTCCCTTCTTAGATTTTGACATTTTGGAGCAGTTCACGATCATACGTCAATCCCTTGCTCCTCTGCGGTTATCACGATGGCAGATGTTCAAGTTTATGATTGCACATGTTTATCGAGAGACGGGTCCGGTCACGATCTTCCTGCTATATTCGGGACTTCTGCTTCTGATAACATACACATCGAAAGCAATCATGGCAAGAAAAGAGATGGAACTAGGAATTCCCGTTCTTGGGGGCTCCAAACAACACAAACTTGACTTCAAGCAGCTAGTGGAAGAGGGCAGAAGACTGGTCGGTTATGACATATTTGCGAAGTGCGACCAAATCCATGCTGACGTCTTTTGTAGTATCCTGATACACCGTATATCGTGAAGACACAAGGACTTCCTTACGTCGTCTTTCCGACGTCCTCGTTCGATGAGATAAAGAGATTACCTGAGCACATTGCCTCTGCCCAAGATTTCTTTCTGAAAACGTATTTTGGTCACTTCACCACTGCTGGAACCGAGACACCTGCAGTCTTGAAAGCGGTTAGCGTAGATCTGGCACGTAGTATTCCTATGAAAGTTCCTTCTCGGCAAGAAGATGCAAAAGTCGCAGTCGATGATGTTATTGGGGAATGTCCAGACTGGAAGGAAGTCAAGCTCTTCCCGGCGGTGACAAAAGTTATCACGATACTGAACGCTTGCTCATTTATCGGAAGAGAGCTCGGAAGAAGTAAGCGTTGGGTGGATTTGGTGAGCAAGTTTCCTTTTCAGGTTATGGTGGGCACATTTATGATTAGCGTGGTACCGTGCATCTTTCAATGGCTTCTTGCGCCATTGATCTTCCTCCCCGCTATTGTGACAAAATGGAGAATGAAATTAGCGATCAAAAGTGTCATCAAGAACGATATGCAGAACTTCCTCAGCGCCAAAGACAAAAAGAGCTTGCTGAAGTTGACCGAAGAAGGGAAAGTACCATTCACGGCAGCATTGATGACTCGGTACAAGCCAGAGGAAGCAACTTTGGGGCAGTTACTCCAAGACTATGTCACCGTGTCATTTGAATCAACTCCTTCGAGCGCAGCTGCTTTGTATCTAATTCTGATGGAGCTGGCGACTCGGCCAGAATTAGTCGAAATCATACGCCAGGAGCTACGAGAGGTCATGGTAGATGGAAAATTGCCCAAGACTCATCTGGCAGAGCTGAGAAAAATGGATAGTGCAATGAGAGAATCATCGAGGGTCAACCCGTTTAGCCTTCGTGAGTATACCGTAGCAAAAGAAACTACTGGTCTAAGCAAGTGAACAGTTGCCCTATATCGACTTCTCCGAGTTCCAACAAAGCTTTCCGTTGGCCCGAAACTGCCTGCTGGGACACTGATTTGCGTCGATGTCCACCATATCAATACCTCTCCAGAACTTTGGGAGAACCCAGAGGAATACAATGGATTGCGTTTCCACGAGATCAGGAAAGCGCCCGGGATGGACAGTAGATATCAGTTCGTGAGTACCGGAGCTGATTCTCCTGGATGGGGGGATGGATCAATGGCGTGTCCTGGGCGGCTGTTTGCAAACAGCACAGTCAAAATTGCGTTGGCCCACTTGATCATGAATTATGACTTCAAATTTGCAAACGGGGAGGGAAAACCTGCGAGAAGCTCACTTCCGAATGGTTCATGGAACCCCGGGTTGGAAACCACATTCATGTTCAGATCAAAGAAAGTAGGCGCTTGAGGAAGTACGAGAAGGTGCATAGGAACAGCCAATGAACCAAATATTCCTATAGAAAATCTTCTCAAGCCCCTTGCATAGAAATCGTGAATTTGAAAGTTGCGGTCTTAATGTAACCAGGTTTCCGTTCCTCGTACTTGAGGAACATCTTACATTATGAATGATGGAATTGAAGAACAAGAGGAGCATACATATGTTGGAAATCAAACACTTGCTGAGATCTATATTCTGCAAGGCGAAGGGAGAGAGCAGGCCCAACGCGTTGTTAGGGATCACGTGGGCTTGGCACGTACACCTGGGTAGGGCAAGTATGCTCTAGCTAGGCAGTAACTCTTAGTCAATACTCGAGTACACCCACCTGATGAGACTCAATATGGTGATCCCCCGAGAGAAGGAACAGGAACAACAAAGACATAAAAGCAGGACACACCTACACAGGAGAAACGGCTTCGTAGGGACGAATACTTTCAAATCTTCACCAAGCCACATCAACCTGTGGGAGATGGAAAGAGGCGTTCCGAACACAAGGCCCGAACGACGCCTTCCTGAGAAAAGAGAAGCAGCAACGTTCAGCATCGCACCTACCCAAATAAACAGAAAAGCTGACATCCTCGTGGTATCGTTGACAACCCCCCCACTCTTACAAACACACCTTTCTCCCTCACAAAACAACCATTCATTGCCTTAAGAAGCACAATTCATCCGAGAAGAGTGCCAGCACCAAACCGAGCGCTCTCACGGTACCGTGGAACAACCAGCGTGGGTAATGAATGGAAGCCTATACACGGCTACTGTCCAAGGCCGCTCATTCAGGAAAATATGACGCCAGGCCAGACGGAGACCTGTCGTGCAGAGATAGAGCTTTGGAATTTGCCGAGAGAGGACCGTAGGGATGGCTCCCAAGTCTGTCGGACGTAATAGATTTCGCTGTTGCAACAAAGTTCTGGCAAAGCCTTTCGGACTTGTTCATCTCACCCGAATAAATTCGGACCCGAGGATGGCATATGCGTCTAAGTGGATTGGGTCACCAATCAACACCTCTTCGGGGCCCTTGACAGTTCTCAGCTGCGTGAACAGGCAACGTTAACTAAGTATGCTTAAACAAATACCTTTATGTTAGTGATTTTGAAGTAATTGTATCAAACAGAGACGCAGTAGTGTTTCAACAACAGTTCATTGCGTACTGCAGTCGTTGAGTCCAGCTCTTTTGATCCAGTGCAAACAGAAGACATAACATGGCGACCAAGGAGACAATGGGAGGGAACGAGCCCATCGCAGTGATTGGCACAGCATGTCGATTTCCAGGAGAGTCGACCAACCCCTCCAAGTTATGGGAGCTGCTTCGGGATCCTCGCGATGTTCAGAGCAAGATTCCAGAGAATCGATTCAATCCCGATGGCTTCTATCACCCCAACGGCACTCATCATGGAACCAGTAATGTCCGGCATGCATATGTGTTGTCGGAGGATGTTCGACAATTCGATGCACCTTTCTTTGGCATCAAAGCCTCGGAAGCGCATTCCATTGACCCGCAACAGCGACTTCTCCTGGAGACGGTGTATGAGAGTATCGACGCGGCGGGGCTCTCGATGGAAGAGCTCAAAGGCTCGCCAACCGGCGTGTACGTGGGTCTGATGTGCGCTGACTATGCTGACTTGCTGGGACGTGATACTTCCTATTTCCCCACGTATTTTGCTACCGGCACGGCGCGCAGCATCATCTCGAATCGCATCTCGTACTTCTTCGACTGGCGAGGGCCGTCGATGACCATTGATACGGCATGCTCCTCATCACTGGTCGCCGTGCATCAGGCCGTGAAGCTTCTTCGTTCCGGCGAGTCGCGGATGGCCGTGGCTGCCGGCGCGAACTTGTTGCTGGGCCCGGAGCAGTTCATCGCGGAGAGCAACCTCCAGATGTTGTCGCCCGATGGGAGGTCGTTCATGTGGGACCAACGGGCGAATGGATATGCGCGTGGCGAGGGCATTGCATCGGTGGTGCTCAAGACATTGAGTGCAGCGCTCGAAGATGGAGATGATATTGAGTGCGTGATCCGAGAGACGGCTTTGAATCAGGATGGACGTACGAAGGGCATCACCTTGCCAAGCGCCATTGCCCAAGCCAGTCTCATTGAGGCAACTTACGCGAAGGCGGGCTTGGACCTTAACGATCCACGTGATCGGCCGCAATGTATGTACCTATCCATATCCGTACTTGGCACCCACTCCACCCCCCCTATTTTCTATCCTTCCTCGCTTATATATGTATATAACATTCATATACGAATACACACACATATATGTGAATACACAAACAGATACACGCACACACACATATATACACACACATCCTAATGACTAATCAGACTTCGAGGCTCACGGTACGGGCACCCCCGCCGGCGACCCCATCGAGGCGGAAGCAATCAGCACCGCCTTTTGGAAGCACCATCACCCCCGCGGCATCCAGGATCCGGACCCTCTATTCGTAGGTAGCATCAAGACCGTCGTAGGCCATACCGAGGGAACTGCGGGGCTGGCTGGCCTCATCAAAGCGTCTCTGGCCTTGCAAAATGCCGTCATTCCACCAAACCGACTATTTGACAAGCTCTCGCCTTCCGTAAAACCATTCTACGGTCATCTGAAAATCGCCACGAAAGCAGAACCATGGCCTGCAGTTGCACCCAATGCCCCTCGACGCGCGAGTGTCAATTCGTTCGGGTTTGGAGGTGCAAATGCACATTGTATATTGGAAAGTTACCAGCAACACCACCACCCTCAGGCTGATAACGGTAATGTATACACGCCATTTGTGTTTTCGGCCCCTTCAGAACGTGCTCTCGTAGCGATGGTGATGTCCTATTCGACCCTTCTGAAGACCGAGCAGCCAATCGTCAATTTGCGCCATCTCTCATATACACTGAGTCAAAGAAGAACTGCATTCCCTGTAAGGATGAGCTTCGCGGGAACTGATTCCTCAAGTCTCTGCTCCAAGCTTGATATGTTTGCTGAAGGTTCCGGTGAAAAGCCAATCGCTCCCTCCACTTCCTCGAAATCGGCCACTATGCGTGTCCTCGGCATCTTTACCGGCCAAGGTGCACAATGGGCAGAAATGGGATCCAAGCTCTTGGTCTCTCCAACAGTCCAGAAGATTGTTGACAGTCTCGAGCAAAGTCTATCTGAGCTGCCTCCCTCTTACCGTCCAGACTGGAGCATCAAATCGGAGCTACTTGCTGACAAGAAGTCATCCCGCGTGGGTGAGGCAGCACTGTCCCAGCCCCTTTGCACTGCGGTGCAAATCATTCTTGTGGATCTCATTCGAACGGCTGGAATCAAGTTTGCGGCTGTGGTCGGCCATTCATCTGGCGAGATAGGTAAGTCTTAACCTTACCAGGAACGATACCTTTAACCCAAGATATATGCTGAGCTTTTCTCTCAATAGCTGCTGCTTATGCCGCAGGATATCTCTCTGCCAGTGACGCTATCCGTATTGCCTACCTTCGCGGTGTCAATTTATGTCATGCCCATGGCGTCAGAGGAGTCCCCGGAGCTATGGTAGCTGTTGGAACATCCTATGAGGACGCTCAAAAATTCTGTAATCTGAGAAGATTTAGAGGAAAGGTTGTTGTGGCTGCTAGTAATTCACGAAAGAGCGTGACAATCTCTGGAGATGCCGATATCATAGAGAATGCGAGGAAAGCATTTGAGGACGAGAAAAAGTTTGCCAGAGTGCTCAAGGTTGACAAGGCGTATCACTCTCATCACATGAAAGCCTGCAGTGATGCCTACAGCAGTTCTCTTCGTGACTGTGGGATCAAAGCTCATCGTCCTGTTAATCCGGAATGTGTATGGGTTTCTTCTGTCCATCAACAAGACATGAGGGAATTCAAGGATGACCTGAGCGAATCCTACTGGGTGAGCAACCTCGTTTCTCCTGTCATGTTTTCTCAAGCCGTTGAATATGCTCTTGGAGAAACCTCTTTCGATCTGGCAGTTGAGTTTGGGCCGCACCCAGGTTTGAAGGGTCCTGTGCTTCAAGTTATAAATGACACTTTGGGTGATTCTATCCCATACACAGGTCTTCTGAGTCGTGGAAGCAACGACATCGAAGCATTTGCCAATGGCCTCGGCTATATTTGGGCTTCTATCGACAAGCCGGTTGTGAAATTTTCTGGTGTTGATATGCTACTAAACAATGCAGAACCACCACGGCTGCTCAAAGGGCTCCCTAATTACTCCTGGGAGCATGAACGTGCATATTGGCACGAATCTCGTGTCTCCAAGACCTTTCGTGAGCGGCAATCGCAACCTCATGAACTTCTAGGTACCAGGTGTGCAAACTCATCTGACTCGCAGGTTCGATGGAACAACTATCTCATCCCCAGAGAGTTGCCTTGGATTCCTGGTCATCGGATCCAAGGACAGATGGTATTCCCTGGCGCAGGTTACATTGCCACTGCATTCGAGGCTGCCCTGGAAATTGCCGGCAGTGAGTCGACGAAATTGATCAAATTAACGGACTTCACAATTGGCCAACCCATTGTTTTCGATACTGAAGACTCGAGTGTTGAGATCCATGTCTCACTGACGGACATACAGCGTCTTGGTACTGTGTTGACTGCTAAGTTTTGTTTTTTCTCAGCTGGGAGCAAGGAGCCTGGGGCCATGGCGCTCAATGCAAAAGGCATCCTTCAAATCGGGTTTGGGGACAAAGAATTGCAAATTCTGCCGTCGATTCCCGAAAAACAGTACGCCATGCTTGACATAGAGACCGATAGGTTCTATGACTCTTTCGCTGGATACGGGTACGGCTACACAGGCCCATTCAAAGCGCTTTCGTCATTGGAAAGAAAACGTGGTGTTGCAACTGGTCTAGTAGCAGTTCCTCCGGGAGTTAGACCCGAAAGGAACCTCATCATCCACCCCGCAGTATTGGATGCTGCTGTCCAATCGATCCTTCTTGCATACTGTTTCCCAGGAGATGGTCGCCTTCAAGCAATTCAACTCCCCACTGATGTCTCCTGCATTACCATTAATCCAGCACTATGCACATCGAACGCTGTTCCGGGCCTATCTCTAAAATTTGTTTCCACCATCTCGAAGGAGGATGGAACCAAGATTGATGGTGATGTCAGTCTGTATCCAGTGGATGGCCAGTATGCAATGCTCCAACTCGAAGGGATGCATACAACACCAATGACCCCTCCAACAGAAGCCACAGATGTTCGCATCTTCTCCACTTTTACCTGGGACTCAGCTTCTCCACGGGCTTGTACTACCGTGGAGGAGACCTTTGCATTTGGCTTTGTGCTGGAAAGGGTTGCTTGTTTCTACCTTCGCAATCTTCAGAACCAGGCCACGCCCAGAGATCGTGAGAATTGCGAGTTGTATCACAGACAACTTTTTGCATACACGGACATCATGGTCTACCGTGTGGCTGATGGTACACACCCCTTCGCCCAAAAACAATGGATCAATGATACACATGAAGAGATACTATCTATTATTGAAAGTTATCCTGAAAGTATAGATCTTCGAATCATGCGGGCAGTCGGAGAGAACATTATTGCTGTAGTCCGTGGAGAGACGACCATCCTCGAGTGCATGATTCAGGACAACATGTTGAATGACTTTTATGTTCGTGGTCTTGGGATGCCTGAATATTTGTATAAATTGACCTCGACTGCAAAACAGATAGGCTATCGTCATCCAGGTATGAACGTTCTAGAAGTTGGCGCAGGCACCGGTGGTGCGACGAAATCCATTTTGAGAGATCTTCAGGAAGCATTCGCTTCCTATACATATACTGACATCTCAAGTGGTTTTTTTGAGAAAGCAAGAGAGGTTTTCAAGGCACGTGAATCTAAAATGATTTTCAAGACCCTTGACATTGAGAAAGATGTCGTCGATCAAGGATATGTTGAGCATTCGTATGATTTAATTATTGCATCTCTAGTGCTTCATGCTACCAAAAGTCTAGAAGAGACACTGAAAAATGTTCGGCGGTTGCTTAGACCCGGCGGCTACCTGCTGATGTTGGAGATTACGGACAATGAACCTATGCGATTCGGCTTCATATTCGGTGGCTTGCCTGGTTGGTGTAAGTGCTATGGAAGCCATAATTTCTTGATTTCTTTCCCGAGACATTGGAATATCTCCTCCTCTCAAAAACGAAATACATGAAAAGTGCTAACCTGCTTGTTATATAGGGTTAGGCAAGGATGACGGAAGAACTTTGTCACCTTGCATTGAACCTCCAAAATGGGAAGCGCTATTGAAGGAGAGCGGATTCTCGGGAATTGACTCCATAAGTTCCCACAAGACGAGCGAGCCACTCCCTCTGTGCGTGATACTCTCTCAGGCCATGAACGAGCACGTCAATCTCTTACGTGATCCACTGGCATCAACACAGAAACTCGTGCATTTATCCGAGCTCGCGATAATCGGTGGTAGTTCACCACGAACTTCCCGTTGCGTTTCTGGCTTGACCCAGCTTTTGACCCCGTACTGCGATGAAACGAAACATATTCAAGCCATTGTAGATCTCAACACTACCAACTTGAAATTTGGTGGTAGTGTGATTTGTGTGCAGGATCACGATAAGTCGATTTTCGAGAATTTGAGCGAGAAGAAGTTGAAGGGATTGCAAAAGCTTTTCGAGAAATGCAAGAACGTTGTGTGGATCACTCGTGGCTACAAAGACTGTGACCCATATGCCAAGATGGTGACAGGCTTCGCTCGATGTCTTCTTCAAGAAATGCGACACGTCCGTCTTCAGTTCTTGGATTTCAACGTCTCCGAGGAACCCAATGTCAAAATAATAGCGGAGGCTGTTTTAAGATTCGTGGCAGCCGATATGTGGGAGGATGAAGGGAATCTGAACGAGCTCTTCTGGTCTGTTGAACCAGAGATTTCCTTCGAGCATGACATAGACTTCATACCGCGTGTTCAACTCAGCAAAGCCGCCAACAATCGTTACAATTCATCTCGACGACTCATAACCGAAAATGTTACTCCTGAGCAATGCCCAGTGACATTGTTTCATTCCGGGGTTGGCTATCGTTTGAAAGCTGTCAATGGCCTTGTTCCATTGGCAGTTCCGATTTACCCAGGCAGGATTCGTATTCAAGTCACTTATTCGCTTTTGAGATCTGTGAGGATTAACACTCTGGGGTACTTTTTCCTTATCCTGGGTAGAGATATGACGACTGGTAAACAAGTCATCGCTTTATCAACATCCCTATCTTCGGAAGTTAACGTTCCTCAAATCTGGACTCGACCTTGCTACTTCTCAACTAGTCGACGGGTTGAAATGCTTCTCGAAATATTTTACACATTCCTGTCCAATACCTTCTTGATGGGACTTTCTATTGGAAGCGTTGTACTTTCTATAGATCCCACCGAACCTCTTACAGATATTCTGAAAACTACGGCCGCTAAGAGGGGCATACAGCTCACATTCATAATGTCAACATCTGCCCCACATCAGTCTGATACATGGAAGGTGGTTCATCCACACGCTTCTAAACGAGAGTTTGACGCAGCCCTTCCGGCCAATTTATCACGCGCCTTATCTTGGGAAGAGAACGACTCATCCTCCAAGCTGCTACAACATATCCCTAATCTTTGTCTCGTCGAGACAAGTAGTACCCTCACGCAACTGGACGCATACAGCAATGGGACGACAAGTGACTCTCAGATATCAGACATACTTGAGGCATCACTGATGCAGGCTCTTTCCGGCTTCATTGGGATCAATTCGGATGATATGCCCGTTGCATCATTGGAAGAGATCCTCCAATCTTCAGTCAAGCAGACCCATACCACCGTGGTGAACTGGCAAACGTCATCTTCGCTGCCCATGCAGCTTGAGCCTGTAGATACAAGACCGCTGTTCGAGAACGACAAGACATATTGGCTTGTTGGATTGACAGGTGGCCTTGGACTTTCCCTTTGCAAGTGGATGGTGGAACATGGCGCTCGATACATTGTTGTATCTAGTCGTAATCCTAAAGTGGACCCAGGATGGATATCCGACTTTGAAGCCGCCGGTGCTACGATTAATCTATATGCAAAGTAAGATACCAAATTGCATTTCCATAGACTTCTGTACTGATTCTTTAGTGATGTCACCAATCGAGACTCTGTCCGATCAATTTACGATATAATCCAGAGAAGCCTTCCTCCAGTGGCTGGTGTTTGCCAAGGCGCTATGGTTCTTCATGATACACTTTTCGCCGATCTTACTATGGAACGGATGGAGAAGGTTTTGAAACCAAAAATCGATGGGGCCAAATACCTGGATGAAATATTTCAGCAGGAACCCTTGGACTTTTTCATCTTCCTTTCATCCATGGCTTCTGTCACCGGAAATCCGGGCCAGGCAGCTTATGCTGCTGCTAATATGTTCCTAGCAGGTATGCAAGTTATATAAACTCCTCTTGCCCCATGAGTGTCTCAGAAGGCTGTGAATATTTGAAATTGCGACTTTGGTCAAAGTTCATAGAACGCGGCGATCATTTTTATGTATATCTGATACTGACGTTGTGCAGGTCTTGCGGCTCAGAGAAGGCAACGTGGGCTTGCTGGCTCTACTGTCCACATTGGTGCAATTATCGGCAACGGCTATGTTACCCGAGAACTCACCTTGGGACAGCAAGAAGCTTTGCAGAAAGTTGGCAACATTTGGATGTCTGAACAAGATTTCTTCCAGATTTTTGCTGAAGCAGTGGTAGCTAGTCCACCAGGACCAGTGTTCAATCCGGAGTATTGCACGGGACTGAGAGTGTTTTATGCAGACGAGGAAGATAAACCAGACTTCAGTCAAAATCCAGTCTTCTCCCACTTGATGATGCACAGAAATGCCGCTGGTTCTGTTTATAATGGCAACGTCGCAGCTGTCTCTGTCAAGTCCCAGATTTTGAAAGCAACTACCTCGGATGAGGTGTACGAGATTATAAAGGGTAAGCAGTTTTTCTTTCCCCGAAAATCCCGCAGAATTAATTCTTTCTAGTCGCCTTAGCCTTAAAATTACAGCTTGCGCTTCAAGCACCTCGGGAATTGGATGTCATGAGCCAAAACGCGGACTCCCTCGGTGTCGATTCTCTGGTTGCTGTTGAGTTAAGATCGTGGTTTTTGAAGGAACTCAACGTCGATATGCCGGTACTCAAAATCATCAGTGGCGCGACGATGGCAGAACTACTGGAACGTGCACAAGAGTTACTCCCTCCAGCATTGACTCCTAGTTTGGGATTGGAGAAACCACCGGGTACTATAGAAAATAACCCGACAGCAGCTGCACAGAAGACTGCTACCCAGACATCAGTGAATGAGAAGAAATCGGTAACTAAAACCTTTTCGCCTAGTTCAAAAACAGCTCCATTTTCGAGGGTCAATCCATCGAGGATCGCACCGCCCAACCCAGCTCTTACTGAGAAGGTAATCAGTCGGCAACCCTCCGAGGCATCTCCAGCATCAGCCTCGATCAATAGTGATAAAGAAAAGAAAACGGGAAAAGCTATTCCTGAATCTCAAACGGCTGTTATGGCTAACAGTCCGGGCGCTTCTATATATAAGCCGGAGCAGCCTTCTTTCGTGTCGCCCACCTCAGAATCTCCTCAATCGTTCGCGGCCACAATTCCAGACTTCGAATCTCTTTCCACGTCCAACCGCAGATCATCAGGATCATCACAATCTTCTTTCGAGAAAATTCCCAAACCATCAGGTGCTGAAAGTGGAGTTCAGAATATTCTCCACATGTCATTTAGTCAAACAAGATTTTGGTTTCTGAGGTCCTATCTAGAAGATAAAACAACCTTCAATGTCACCACCTCCATCCATCTTCGTGGAAACCTTCACTTAGATAATCTATCACAAGCGGTTTCAACCATTGGGCAACGACATGAATCGCTTCGAACCCGTTTCTTCACAAATGAGAACCACCAGCCAATGCAGGCTGTCCTCGAATCTTCTTTGCTTCGTTTAGAGAGGAAACAAATTTCTAACAACAATGAAGTAGCTGAGGAATACGTTCGGATGAAGAATCATATTTTCGATCTCGAAAACGGTGAAACACTAAGGATCATTCTTCTCTCAGTATCCCCAGTCTCACACTACTTGATACTAGGTTATCACCACATCAACATGGATGGCGTAAGTTTCGAGATATTTTTCTCAGACTTACAAAAAGCATACGATTCCAGCTCAAGCCTCCATAACAACGTCCTACAGTACCCTGACTTCTCGTCGCGTCAGAGAAAAGAGTACCTCGAGGGGAAGTGGTCACGTGAATTGGCTTTCTGGCGTGGTCAATTTCCTAATATCCCCTTGCCGATGCCGTTGTTACCGTTATCAACTTCAACGTCTCGATTAACTCTCACAAAATATGGATCTCACATAGCCTCCCATCGCGTCATACCAGAGCTATCTGCCCAGATTAGCGACACTTGCAAGAAGTTGAAGGTTTCGCCATTCCAATTCTATCTCACTGTCTATCGTGTTATGATTACCCGGTTCGTGGAAATTGAGAGTTTTTGCGTTGGTGTCGCCGACGCGAACAGAAACGAAAGTGACGTTGAACAAAGTCTTGGGTGCTATTTAAACCTTCTTCCTATTTGCTTTGACACTCACGCGACAAACAATTTCAGCGAGGCTGTCAAAGAAACAAAGGCAAAGACTCAGGAAGCATTTGCTAACTCAAAAGTCCCATTCGATGTTCTGCTCAACGAGCTTAATGTCCCAAGATCATCAACTCAAAGCCCACTGTTCCAAGTCTTTCTCAACTATCGCCAAGGGGTAGCAGAAAATAGATCTTTCTGCGGTTGCGAGTGTGAATGGACAGACTTCGATGGTGGGCAGACTGCATACGACATCAGTCTGGATGTTGTCGACAATACTGGAGGCGATGCACTTCTTAGAATGTCTGTTCAGAAGTCCCTATACACGGCTCAAGGTGGTGAGGTGTTGATGAAGAGTTTTGTAAATTTACTAGACTCGTTTTCTCGAAACCCTGCGACCCGCCTTAGCAAACCTTCGTTGTATAGGAAGGATGACGTTGAAAATGGTCTCTCGCTTGGTCGTGGTGAGTAATTTGTTGTCTATCTCTGATATATTCCATGTGCTCACATACCTTTAGGCTTTATCTCACTACCAAAATGGCATGGAACCCTCATTAATCGGGTTGATGACATGGTCCAAGCCAACGGTCAAGCCCTTGCCCTTAAAGACGGACTTGGTAATTCTCTTACCTACAATACAATGTTTGCCAGAGTGAACGCGATAGCAATTGCTCTATCCAATCTTGGTATAGGAAGAGAATCAAAAGTAGGGGTATTTCAAGAGCCATCTACAGATTGGATCTGCTCCATCCTGGCTGCTTTACGACTTGGCGCCATCTATATTCCATTGGACAGTAGGATAACCATTATGCGTCTTGCTATAATTGTCAAGGATTGCCAGCCGAATGTCATCATCGTTGACGATGTAACCGAGAAAGATTGTCCACTCCTCGAATTGCAAGCCAAGAAGATCAATGTTTCAAGGCTGCCTAATAACGCGCAAGCTAGAGTCGTCGCCAATTCTTCAACAAAGGATGCTACCATGACAATCCTTTACACCAGTGGAAGTACGGGAGTGCCGAAGGGAATTGTGATGAAGCATGTCATCTTCCGCAATCACATTGAAACTGTAACCGATGCTTGGTTATCCAAGTTGGACACGGTCATAGGACTGCAGCAGTCCTCATTAAGCTTCGACATGTCCTTGGTTCAAATTTTCTGGCCCCTATGCTCCGGTGGGAGCCTCTACGTCGTTCCTCAATCTCATCGTGGAGACTCAGTTGCAATTGCGAATATCATATCATCGGAGAAAGTCTCATTGACAGCAGCTACCCCTTCCGAATACATTAGCTGGATTCAATTTGGAGACACCGCTGCTCTTCAAAATTCATCTTGGAAACTTGGAATCTCTGGTGGCGAGAAAGTCACTCCCAATTTAGTCAAATCCTTTAAAAAGATGAGTAAGGCGAACTTGCGATTGATGAATTGTTACGGTCCCACTGAAATCACATTCTTTTCGCATTACTCAGAGCTGTCTTGTGACCAAGACAGTACCTCGGATCCAAATAGCTCAACTCTGAAGCCATGGACAAACTTCTCAACCTACATCGTCGACTCTCATCTCCAGCCAGTACCTATAGGCGTCCCCGGGGAGGTGGTTATTGGTGGAATGGGTGTTGCATCTGGGTATTTCAACATGACAAGACTGACAAATGAACGATTTCTACAAGATAACCTCGCATCAAAGGACTTCCGTGCGCAGGGTTGGAGTACAATGCATCTCACCGGAGACCGAGGTCGACTCCAATCCGATGGCACTTTGATTCTAGAAGGTCGAATTATTGGTGATACCCAGATTAAGCTTCGCGGACTTCGAATCGACTTGCAGGATGTTGAAAGTACCATTATCCAGTCATCACAAGACCGGATTCTTCACGCAATCGTCTCCGTCAGACAAGCAGGTCCATCTGAGCCCGAATTTCTTATTGCTCACGTCGAGCTCTCCAGTAGTACTGTCCAAGAGAACATGAATGCTTTCCTCAAGAAGCTCTTGCTTGACCTTCCACTTCCACAATATATGCACCCCGTGTTCCTCATTCCAGTATCCAGTCTCCCCAGAACCAATTCTGGCAAGATTGATCGGCTAGAAGTCAACGCATTACCACTGCCACAAAAGGAACAGCCCAAAGGCTCCCCACAACCACTCAGTCAGACAGAATCTGACCTCTTAAACCTTTGGGTACAGGTCTTGACAAAAGAAGTACTGGATAATTTCACGGTGGATTCGGAATCAGATTTTTTCCAAGTCGGTGGAAGCTCATTACTCCTCGTCAGCCTTCAGTCCCTCATCAAAAAGTCATTTTCCGTTGAACTTCCGTTGCCTCAACTGTTTGATTCCAGCACTTTTGGAAAGATGGCAACTACGATCTATAAACAGCAAAGTCCTAATCAAATCTCGGAAGCACCGCCAGCTGTTGAGGTACCAGAAACTCTCGAGGCAGACTCTTCTCGCGTGCCTGCCCCTACGACAGCCGCACTCATTGACTGGGAGTCTGAAGTATCCATCCCATCGTCACTGACAACTTCCACTGTCCTTGGGGTCAATGAGCCTCGGATTATAATCTTAACTGGCTCGACGGGGTTTCTTGGCAAGGCGATTCTCCAAAGGCTGATATCAGAACCATCGATCGAGAAGATATATTGCGTCGCGGTCCGTGCCAACTCTTCGCGGTCGGATCCTGCCTTCTCGTCCCCCAAAGTCCTCGTCTACACCGGGGATCAATCATTACCATTGCTTGGTCTTTCATCGTCCGATAGTAACTCTATTTTGTCGGAAGCCGACGCGATCATACATAATGGTGCTGATGTCTCATTCCTGAAGACCTATTCCTCACTTCGAAAACCGAATGTTCAATCCACAAAACAGCTCGCAAACTGGGCTGTGAAGTTCGGTCTTCAATTTCACTACATATCTACCGCATCTGTCACCTATCTGTCTGGGCAGGAAGAATATCCCTCAATTAGTGCTCGGAACTTCCGACCTCCACCTGATGGCTCAAATGGTTACATTGCGTCAAAATGGGCTTCTGAGGTCTATCTTGAGGAAATGAATATACAGTTCGGTATGCCACTCGTGGTCCACCGGCCCTCTAGCATTACTGGTCCGGGGGCTTCGGAAACAGACGTTATGTCTTCCCTTCTTAAATATTCAAAGATCCTACATGCGATTCCGAAATTCGAGTATATCAAAGGGTATTTTGACTTCATTTCGATCGAGAAGGCTTCTCGGGAAATTGTCGACTTAGTGCTATGCGGTGTCGAGGATTTAGATACGAGGTATGTATTTGAGAGTGGAGAGATTGAGATAGAAAGTGGAAGTATGAAGGAAGCTCTGGAAATTCAGACTGGGGGAAGTATTGCAGAACTGAAGATGTCCGAATGGGTCAAGCGTTCGGAACTATTGGGGATTAATTCGATGGTGGCTGCTTTTCTGAATGAATCTACAAGCCAGCCCTTGTTGATGACCAGGCTGATCAAAGATGAAGAGTCTAGTTGGATGAATATTTGAGAATGGGGGTGTATCTTATAAGACTGCAAATTCCAAAAAAGATGTGTGTTCTTTCAAAGACATTTATTCTTTAGGGCATCTATTTGAATCCTGCTTCTTTATAGGAGTCATAAATGAGAATTAGAGTGGAGTATCTTTCCTGTGTTTTTCAGAGCTTTCTACACTGTTCATCGCTAATTCACAAAGCATTACATGCAATCAGGGGATACCGACAAAGGGCTATTGACCTTCGGGCTCATGTTTTAAAAAACTGCTCTTACTGGCCTTGATATGAATATCACTAGTTCTACGATTACCATCCTATTACTTAAAGTTTTCATTGCTCAATTCGACTTGTTATTTGACAATTATGTTATTGTTGTCTGAAATATCTCAGAGCGCCAGCCAGTAAAACAGACTCGACAATGGCATAGCTAGGCTCACTACGATTCAAGTCAACTGGAATAGCTCATGTGGAGATCGAACGTGCAAACTAAACACAGCATGACAATTCGACTATCTAAGCTTTGGCCGTACAATTTCAAATTTCTTGTCTAAGAACCGAAACGTATACTCATTACTCAAACCGAACGCCCCAATCTTCGCCTGCAACGCGCCATCGGCCGGCTTATTCCCTATCCAGATATCCTTATCTAGATCCCTGATATGGTTGAGTCCCTTCCAGACCTTCATTGTGTGGCTGGCGACATCCAAATACAGACTTTGCCCTGCTCCCGAAATCAAGATGGGACATGTAACCTTGTCCAGAAACGACTTTCCAGTAGGCCCTCTGAGTGTGAATTTCTTCATCTCTAGCAAAATATCACTAGGGTTGTCCAACTGCCAGAATGCACCCGAGACCGAAACTTCCCACTTCAGCTGGAAGTCAAAATACATCCCGATATTGATGATCCGATTGACCATTGTATTGGAGATCCATCCAGACATCCATGCATTTATGAATGTGGGTGATACGTGCTGCGTCCCAAAATCCCACATATCATACAATGGATCCATCGCAACACACGCTTTCACTCTGGGATCTGAAGCCACACGGAGAGCAAAGTAGCCTCCAAGTGCCGACCCTGAAACGGCTATCCTGTCGAGATCCAACTCAAGCTTCGGATGGCTACTCGCGAATGAAGACAGGTAATCGAGGACGTGACGAGTAACATATTCCCAGTCTGGTCTAAGCTTGAGTCCATGTTTTCTCAGCGCCATTCCCTGCCCCGGACCATCGAACGTCAAACACGCATATCCCAGATCAGGCGCTGCGGATGGATTCAAGAAATAGAGTTCTTCCTGAATGGAGTCTGCGCCTCCACAATTGATCAAAATTGGAGTCTTTCCTTGAAGACGTTTCGAAGGCGGTGGTAGATATAAATATCCCTTCAGGTCCACCCCCCCAGGGTAAGGGATATCCAAGAATTCAACCTGGCCTTCTAATAAAGTGATGCCCTTCTTGAATAGACCTTCGACCTTTTCTGCAATAGGTAAAACTCTCGGGTCTTGCTTGGACGGGATTTCTCCGACAAACATGTATCCGCTCGCCCTCGTGTATTGACTTGCTCGCAAATAGGCTCGTTTTGCGGCGTCCCGTTGTCCGGCGACCATACAGCGCTCTGCAGTATCCTGCGCTCTTTCTGCCTGGGCTTTCCATGCCTTGTGCCACGATTCGGCGTCTCCTTCCTGTATATCACCAACGGCTTCGAGGACTTCGCAGAGCTCAGCTCCCCCATTTGAGGCGGTCCCGAGGATCCGGATGACTTCAAAGTCAAGCCAAGTATTCTTGAAGAATTTGTGCATGGTTACAAGCAGGTTTTGAGGTCGTCAGTGGAGTAAAAAAGTGGTGATAACAAAGTGATAATGAGGTGGATAATAGAAAGGACAACGGACTTCAAACTGCTTTCTCTCTGTATGCAGCAGACTTCCCCAACTACTCAACCATAAACTTACTCAGCATCAGGATAATCGTAGTTTCGGCTTGGTGATTGAGAATACTCTACTTCCCTTTCCTCATCTGCATCTTCGGCTTCGATATCAGAGCTCGCTTGCAAGCGACATTCGATATTATCGCGAGCCGAATACTACGATGCTGTGAGCACCGAGAGATACAAGTCGGGGACGGACTCGGGGCCGGGGCACCACTTTGTTCTCCAGGCATCGAGAGTCGGGCTCAAGGAATTAGGCACCAAAGAGGAAGCCGAAGCAGGATGGACTTTCGGTGAGTGTAGAATTGGTCTGACATGTACATTCACGTAATCGTTTACCAGTACTAACAGCACGGGTAAATGGCACAGGCTACAAACGAATGTCAGATTAACAGGGGTATAGAATCAAGATCCTGCAAATGGCCGTACTCTGGGTGACACAGCGCCTGTGCTCTTGTGAGGTGATTGTTGGGCAGGTTACACAGCATGGCGTGCCAGGGTAATATATTAATAATAGGGGGTAGGCTGTAGCTGTAGCTGTAGCTGTCTAAAAAGGGTGACCGGAAAGTCGACGCGAGGCTAGCCGACTTGATTACAAATTCATTGTACAACGTCAGATTGCTATAGCGCTGCAGGGAGGATTTGATCACATTTAACGACCGCAGCGCAGATACCTTCTACCTCCCTACTAACTGATTTACCGTTTCCTTCACTGTGCATCAAACACCATCACATCACAGAACATCTTCCCATCATCTTCTCAGAGTTACAGTCACCGTACAGCACAATGACGATGGCTACATACAAGCAGATCGAGTCCCTCATGGGAACTGGTCCTCCAGCGGGAGCAAAGCAAATGCAAGTCATGCGTTGGGCCTCCAAGAATCCCCCCAAGGACCCCAATGCTTCCTTCTCTGGCAAGAATGTCCTCATCACCGGCTCCAATACAGGCATCGGATTACAAGCCGCCATTAAATTTGCTGCACTGGATGCTGCAAAGGTCATTCTGGCTGTTCGCTCCCCAGCCAAGGGAGAGGAAGCTAAACAGAAGATCATCGCAGCTACCAAGCGTGAGTCTGCGGCCGTCATCGTCATGCAGCTCGATATGAGTTCTTTCGAATCAGTCAAAACATTCGCAGTACAGATCCAAGCCCAGGTCGACCGCCTTGACGTGGCCGTTTTGAATGCAGGCATTGCCCCTCCCAAGTATGCTACAGAAAAGACGGGTTGGGAATCTGCTCTACAAGTCAATGTCCTCTCCACCGCTCTTCTCGCCATTCTCCTCGTGCCCATGTTGAAGGACACCGCTGCCAAAGCCGGCCGTCCATCGCAACTCACTATCACAGGCAGCTTCGCGTGCCAATATGTCCAGCCGGACGAACTTAAGCTTTCTCCCGGTGAGAAGTTACTGGAGAAGATGACCTCTCCTGAGCACTTCAATGTTGAGAAGTCCTACGGCCAAATCAAGCTGTTGACTCAATATGTTATGAAAGGTCTTGTTGATGATTACTCCTACGATGTGAATGGCCAAGTTGACGTTGCTATTGATGTTGCCTGCCCCGGATATTGCAGTACGGATCTGGGTCGTGATTTTCCTTGGTATATCGCTTTGCCAACGAAGCTTATGCACCTGTACTGTGCTCGGACAGCTGAGGAAGGAAGCCGCTCTTTGGTTAGTGGTACTCTGCTTGGTAACGCTGGACATGGCAAGTTCTGGACAAATGATGTCTTCACAGAGTAAGTCGGCATCCTTTCGGGTGAAGCGGATATTTTACTTACATAACCGAAGTCCAGGAATCATGGTAACCAGCGACGAGGGAAAGAAGCTCCAGCGTCAGGCTTGGAAGGAAATTTCGGATATATGCAAGCAGAAAATGGGATGATACTCTCTATAGATGTGGAAAATGCACGCAGGGTTACATCATTTCTAGTCATCGCTTCATAGCATGTTAGTTTATCGCTATCACATGAATCTGAAGCTTCTTCTATAACCAATGATCATTGCACGCGAAATACGCATATGATTATTTATTGCCTCTTTAACATTGCCTGGAGTTCGGCCATAGCCAATGGAAATATCGGAATGCCGACAAGCCTTTATTTTCTCATTTAGCCAGCCGAAATCTCTTTTTTCCAAACAATCGTGGTGTGTTCAAAAAATAAAAATGTTCAATTTATAGTTTCCACTCTCCTGATAGAGACTAGAAATGTTATGGAGAAATACGTCACACGTGTAATTACCACGTGGCCATGGCATTGGCCTTGTTACAGTAACAGACTCGCTTAATACAAGCCCCTGAGAGCGTCTTACTTACCAATTTTGTCCTTTCTTCGAGCGATAAGAATATTACTATAAATGATTTAGAAACGTGTAACCAACACGCTAACATGTGATACCGCAATGGAAAAAGAGTTTATTATCAAATTCGTATTATTTGATATCATTAATCCAATAGGAGTTTTGTTCTTGAAAAAGTCCACCCTTTCCTTACAGACTTCCGTATTATACCTACAATAATTTCATTAGAGCTAAACAGTAACAATTCCATCCCGCAGATCTGACAGTTGTTCTTTTTCAATGGCCTCTAGAATTCCCAAACCTAAAGATTTCAGGAGTTGCAAAACATGTCCTATGAGTGCTAACCAGTCACCGCGAGGAAAATTTCAAAGACTCCCATATTCGTCGCTTCTTACCAAATTCATTGACCTGTCGAGACCTTTCAGCTCACATTCTCTTCGATATCAAAAGTCTTCGAATATCATCCATAGTCTGTTTGACCAAAGCAGCGCTCCGTGGTTTTTCTCTCGAACGCGATTTGTACCCGTCCTGACGGAACATGACTTCCAGCAAAGCAGTTGCCGTAGTTGTGTCTAGAATTCCTGGTTCCATGGGTGTTTTGATGTCGTTCATCTCATGTGATTGAGAGATGACGTCGATTCCAAGGGTTTCCTCAATTTGTTCGAGTCTTTTTGAAGTGACTTGGATGAGAATCTCCATTTGCAAGTCCATGTGATTGTCCAGGTCAAATCCTCCGATGTGAAGTCCTGGTAGTATGCATGGCATCGACGGTGGTGAGGACTGTGAGTGATTCGATAGTGAGGTGTGAATTCGCGAGAAAATCGCATTGTATGTTTGTAGCAGCCACATATAACAGGTAAGTATAGTTAAGGTTGTCGGCATATCCACAATTGGAATCTGGTGATGAGAGTTCTTCGTGAATGAAATGTTGGAATCACCAATGGTTGCGCCAACAGTACTTCCATCATTATAGGCCGTTGATAGACCAGACAAGAAGTCGTTCTCATCCCAAACTTCGGAGTACGAGCATTCGGATTCGGCACTGGAGTTTGGATTCAAATTCCCGGGGCTTGAAAAGTCATTCAGAAATTGAACTATTTCAAGAAAATGTTGTGAACTTTCCAAGACTCGACCAAGGGTGTTTTTCAAAGACATCGGGGGGAATGATAGAATATCCGAGAGATTCGCAAAGTTTGTTTTGCTGAAGTCTTTCAATAATCTTGCGCTGAGTTCGGATAAGCAGTTCATACAGTCTTCTTTGGTGGCCATGGGAGTTAGTATGTGCTTAACCACTGGATTAGTACGAAGTTCTGGCTTCATATGGTTTTGGTCGTCTTGGTCGAAGAACAGGCCCATGATGTTTTCAGAAGCGTCAGATTGACCAGCAAAGTCGGGAATTGGCCTGACTTCAATGTCGGGTCTATCGGCTGCGAATGCTGTATTAATTCTGGAGCTTGATCCGCTACTAGCACTTAAGGGAGGCGTGTCAACAGGACGCAGCAATTGAGCGTTACCAGTGATCGGATCTCCTCCATTCCTTCCATTAAGATGCTGATGGAGGGTTGGAGAACCAAAGAATCGCTCTGTCGACCTTCGTTTGACCGGTCTCTCGCTGAAAGCTTCCTGATAACTCGTCTCCAGCTGCTGCACTGTGACAGAATTCGTATTTTTGGAAGTATCGCCATTCAGTCCTATGTTGGTACTAGTATTGTGTTCTGATTCCGAAGCAAATCTCTGCTGAACAGTCTCCGAGTCCTGAGGAGCAGAGTCTCGAGGCCATCGTTCAGAATCTGATCTTATAACCTTCCGTTGCCGAACAAGTGTATTGATACATATTGCGCCAGCTTTCTTGCAACGTTCGCAGCACTCCGACTTTTGTTGAGCAGCACCTTCACAGTCTTCAATGTCAGGGTTTAATAGTCGAACACAGCGAAGCTTCTGACCACGGCATCTGTCGCAGGCATTACGTTGTAGACTCTCTTTAGATTGCATGATAGTATAACAGAAGGCTTTCCACGCTGAATCAGGAAGAGTCTGGTTTCTCGGATAAGAAACCGAGACAGCTGAGTAAAATAACAAAGAACTATCGTAATAAACCATCTCGCGTAGGAATAGTGGTCCTCGTGAAGTTAATAAATACATCCAGTCCTAACGTCTATCACAATGGTGAGGCCGCATCAAGGTACATGATCACTACATCATGTGTATTTTAGGTTACAAAAGTGGGTAATCCATTTTTTGTTGCTAGGTATATTATGCGTCAAAGCTAGGATTATTATTTAACTGTATGCTCATATTTATTGTTCACTGTTCTAGAATTACTGATTTGGGCGAGTAACACAAATGGCGCTAGTGGTATACCCTACGCTATAATGGAGTAATAGAGACAAATCTTTATTAATTAAAATAAACTAATAATACGAGAACATAATTCTAGAAATCTCGTAAAACGAGAACAGTTATATAAGTGATAAAGAATAACGAAAATAAATATATATTTATTACTCGAAGTTATATGTAAAAGGAATATTAGTTAACTAGATATTTTTAGCTATTTAAAGTAATAAAGGACTATTTTAAATAAGAGAGAAGTTTATGTAATAAACTTGTAAAGGAAAGAAGAAAATAAAAGTTATTATAAACTATAAAAGATATTTAAAGTGATAAATTTTATAGAAAGATAAGTTTTATTAAAAGGTTGTTATAAATGTTCTTTAAAAGAAAACTAAAAGATAGTCTTAAATCTTGCTTAGTCTTAGCTATAAGTTGGAAGGCTTCGTAAACAGAATATCAGCGAAAGAACAAATAAATATTTTTATTGTTTTGTTATAGAAACACTTACTACACATAAATAATACATTTTGTTACGTGAGTAGTTCACGCAGAATTTCCAGGCTTGGCGCATATATGTAGACTACCCCGCACGTCGTAATATAATTATCACCACTGCATGGCAAGGGTGCAAGGGCGCGGACTGGTGGAAGTTTCTGTTTGGTTGTTTGGTCGTTTTCCGGTTGGTTCCGGTCGATGACCAAGTATTATGTTGTGAAGGTGCATAAAGCAAATGAATGAGGGGTGGTTGAGAGCAAGGGAGCAACCTACGAGAACCTGCCGATGCTGTGTGGCCCTCAAAGTTTGAAAAGTCGCTTTTTACGCAAGATACGGAGCCTCCATTTCGCCACAAGTGAGAAGAAGGATGTAACCAGCACAAGTATCTGGCGGAGATGTGGCACTGTGGGTAAATGTAACACTTTACACAAGGGAAATAGTATCCTGGATGGCTCGCTATCTTTGTACAAATCCTAATTGAGAAACTCACGAGGTACAAAATTCTGGCTACAAGCGCGGTTATTATTATTCTGCGACTAACGCGATACTACTACAAAAGTAACTAGTTTACTTTAATACTCTACTAAACAATAGGAAAACAAACAACAAAGTCTAAAATTCGAAACCAATCTCATGTTAATTCAAACTACCCATACATTCGAAAGCTTGGCCACGGGCCTGCAACTTTTCATCCCACCCCACGCAACGCCAGCAGGATAGTAAGCCCTTGGGGTCGTATTTCTTCTTTAGTTGGGCTAATTGAGGGTAATTCTCACCCCACCACGCATACTGCCAATCATGCGTCCAAGGGTCGGCTTCACTTATGTAAGAGCCGCTAACTGGTGCCAGAGCCTCGAAATCTCGCGTGATTTCTTTAAGGCTGGACACGATGGCCTTCTTTTCAGCTACAGTGCTGTTCCACAACCACTGCGTCTGCGTTGTAACCATCCAGGTACTATTTCTCCAGGCGGGTGTTGCTGATGTGGATCCTGGTATGTAGCTGTAATATGCTGGGGTGGTGGCGAAGATGGTTGGTGTGAAGCCCTTGGAGATGACTCTGTTCAGGTAAGTAAGAATCTGGGTTTGGCCGAGTTGTGTCTTCAGAAGCTCTGTTGGAATTAGGCGATTGGTTGGAAGACTTCCGAAGCCGATTCCTAATTCGTTTGTTGTGTATACGTATTTTTCATAGACACTGAGAAAGGTTGGGTGGGTCTCTAGGATGATGTTACCCCCTTGTGACGCAGTATATTCCAGAATTGGAGCCATGGATTCTTTGGCCTCCTCCAAACTCAGGAATGGATTTACCATTGCCATAAAATTCGGCCCATTGGGCCCTCCCCAACCCTCCTTTGACCATCTAATGGCATTCTCCATCAGAATACGGGTAAAGGTGGTTGTGTTGGTCATATTTGAAGGCAAATTTATCGAGGAGAAGACGAGCGGAAGCACCGGCTCCACCTTGCTGGTTGATTCCATCACGACCCCAAATGTGCCACCACCACCACCTCGAAGTGCCCAGTATAGATCCTGGTTCTGACAGGCATTTGCTGTACGAAATACACCATCGGGAGTCACAATTTTGAATTCCAAAACCCTGTCGATACCCAGGCCAAATTGGGATGTCAAAAGACCGTGGCCACCTGTCATGACGAATCCACCAGAAGCACCCACTGTCGGGGAAGAACCACCAACGAAGGTTGAGTTGTTTTCGTCTGCAAAATGATAGGCTTGATTAAAGCTGACGCCGGCTCCAACTTTCATAGCATTGTAGCGACTAGTGAAGTTTGATGGACAACCTTCAGGAAGGAAGTCTCTATGGTACTCCATTTTCTGAAGCCTGCGAGTCCAAAGGGCGAGAGAGCCACGGAGACTGTTACGACTTCCGTAATCGTGCCCGCTGTTTTTGATGCTGAGCGTGATGCCATGATCCCGGGCAAAGGCGAAGGCTGCTTGTACATCTGTAGCGCTGGAGACTTCAATATAGTGAGTCGATACACTTCCTTGTCCGCAACTATCGTTTGAAGAGAGATGTGATATGGGATTTGTCGGATCAAGCAAGCATTGGGCGGTGAGTGGATCTTGAGATGAAGCGCATATATGGTCTTGATCATACATGAACCCGCTGTAGAATTCTGCTCGATAGGCTGCAGAGGTATATTGCTCCTGCAGTGCCGAACATTGTGTTGGAAAAGATTTGACAGGCTGTCCATCATAATCGCTATAACATGCTCGAGCAAATGGTTCTGCTGCATGCAGCCTGCCGTGTACAGTATGGTTCAGTGCAACCAAACTTGATTGTGCAGGAAGTGCCCAGATATTTGCAGTAAGGAGAGGGAATAATGACATTACTTGACGAAAAGACATTTTGAAAAAGCGTTAAAGAGCATGAACTGAGGGGAAGATTTAGGTACATAGAAATATTCCATCCATTTCTTTTAAATACATTCTATTTTAAAGACACTTCCAACTATGGCGACTGAGCCGCAGCGGCGAAGCTTCAGTCATACTACGTTCAAAGGGCTGGAAGTATCAGCGCGGGTACTGACACAACTTAAGGCTTGAGGATTAAAAATGGTAATCAGCTGCTGTGAGAGCTACGCAAACTGCTTACTGTCACACAACGTGGCCGTGTTTTTAACGCCATGAGCATATTAAAATTGTGATAGCTTGGAAATGTCCTCGGTTTGAAGGCATGATTTCGATATTGCAACGCTGAGCAACCGCCACAATGCCGTAAGATTCCTCCTAGCCAAATATACATGTTCACATAACTCTTTTAAAATGTGATAAGATGGCTGTGATAATCCTTACACCCTGACAAACATTTGTAATTCGTGCCACGTGACACAAACGGTAACCTCCGAAAGGGGTTCGTTTAAAATTCGGCTAACGTTATGTGCGGCGGGCAAGTCTCATTACAATCAAGCCGATTCGCACAAAATTTGCCTCTCAGGCCCATAAACCCAATTTATTGTTGAAATTCATTACGGTTATTTTAAATACCGGTAGAGCTCTACATCATGGATTTTCAGAAAGGTGTTAGAAAACCCTTCTACTAACATCGGACCCCTCATCCGCGAATATACCCGCGTGCTAGGAAGCTTCTTCAGCCTTTCACACGTTATGCTTCTCCCTAATCAACAGGTTCGCGGTGCGACTTGCGATAATGGTAAAGTCGTGGAAGGTATCCTGGGGTCTCTCAGTCCCGACCTCAAATTTCAGATCATAGTTCAACAACAACTCGGTCAGTATAATCTTGAGTTCATGTGCTACGAAGAATCTTCCTGGGCAGGCATGAAAACCAGCACCGAAGTTAGTAGAATCAGGCGAAACTGTGGCAAAATGAAACTTGGTGGCATCGCCATCTTCTCGCATGCGGTAGAATCGAAGCCCATCAAAAGTCTCTGGGTCAGGGTATGTGTCAGGATCGTGTGTGAACTCGTACGTTGGAAACGATAAAAATGTATTCGCCGGCAAAGTTAAACCATCAGAGAATGTGTATGGGACGACAGTAGACCTTTGAACCGTTACTACACATCATCAGTTCCAAAACAACTTGACATCCCTCATTTCGATTCCTTACCAAGACCTGCAGGGTGCAGCCTTTGGCTCTCTTTCATGAAGCTATCCAATTTCCGAAGTTTTGCAAGACTCTGTTTTGACCAGTTGGGGGACTCTGTGAGGACCTGCTTGATTTCCTCAACCAAATCCGGGATGTATTTGGAATGAGCGATAAGGTCATACACAATAGATACAATAGAAGCGCTTGTGCTATGAATTCCTGCCATGTATAGAAATAATTCTGCGTCCACAATTTGAGCTGGACTGATCGGCTTCCCATCTGCATTGTCTATCAGCCACTGAACTGCATCTCTGTGTTTCTGATTGTCCGCCTGACGAGATGTAATACGATCTTTGTAGATGGGCTCCAAAAGATGTGTAGCTCTCTTTCGGAGGTTCAGAAGGTCCTTCCTTCCCGCGTAAGTCCAAGGTGCAAGCCATTGCCATTGTGAGGAGTATTTCGCTCGGATTTCCATTGCTGATTTCATGATGCCGGCTGTGTTTGCAATTGTGAGTCCAAACCATTCGGGATTCTTGCACATCTCACTTCCTACTAGCACTCTTCCTGTAACTCTTGCTATTACTGGTAGGAACGTATCCCAGGGTTTCATGATTGCCCAATCTGATATTATTAGCAAATCCTATGGTAGTAACATAAGGTGAGGGTGATGTCCACCTTTGCATTCCGGTATCACGGACTCGAAAGTTTGAATACATTCATCTTTCATTCCATCGACCAACTCGCCTGTGATACATTAGAACTTGATAAAGTTTGGGTGTGAATGTAAATTTGCCTAAGTTTTTGTTCAAGTATATTCTAGTAACATGAGAGGCTGCGTGGGAAGGTAGAACGGAACCACTGTAATTCAACAAGAAAGACTAAATCATTTAGTACATAAGACCTCGAAGCTCTGAAAAACTTGCTATACCTGAATTGAATACAGCGGGAAACTGAGTTTGTCCTCGGAAGCATTCATGACCTCGTCTAAATATTTCTTGGCCATGATAACCTGAGGACTTCCTTCGTCTACTGGATTCCTAATCCGAAACGCTTGGCCCATTTTATTGTACTAGGAATAAATCAGAACATTATTGATCTGTTTTACACCCGATGATACCTCGTACTTGAATATATCCTTTGTGCATGACATCCTTGGTGCTAGTGATATATCGTTCCTGGGTATTGTTGTCTTCGAATCGGACCAAGGGTATGTGCGGAAGAAGCTTTGCTTTCTTGTATGCTCTTCTCGATAGATAGTTTTGAATGAGGATTCCTACCGCCACGACCAAACTTAGATAGATTGTTGTTGGAGACATCTTCGCAAAAAAAGTTATAAATTTCTGATGAAAATATCAAAACGATTAATGTTGTGACTATTTTGATATTAACTGGAACTGCAAGCTATAATCTTGATACAATTGACGCTCCGAGTTTTGTTGCAGGGTTTACTTTTTCGGCCGGGCTCCAGATTTCAACCCCGAGTATTCTGTATGAACTTGGGGCGGAGAAGAGGATCTGCTCACTAATACAGGCCTAACTCAAACCATGTGAGTCAATTATAGAATTTCAGTCGGACTCAACCATATTATAAATGCGAATAGGATGGAATTTTGCATTAATATATTTTCCCAGGGTGCTGAGAGTCTTGGGGGGTTTAGCCTGACTTTTCCATGGAATGCACGCCTTTTGTGACTATTCTTGGCACCGATAACAGAACCCATATCTGCGCATAATTATTGTCGGTGCAGGGCCCCGAAAATATGCTCCAGTACATAACAGTTCCAAACGCTAAATCCTTGCGGCGGGAGTCCAATGACGCCCAAGGGATGATTCAACTCCGTAAGCACCAAGGACTTACTTCCCGGGAATAAATGTTTCTATAGTCAAGTATCATAACCGTGGCCTCACTAAAGTAATATTCAAAGTCTTCCAAATTATTCATATGTAACTGGCTAGATTGTTCAAGGGACTCCACTATATCGCAATGACTTCTACGCCAGATCCTGCTCCTCCTGGCGACTTCCAATATCGAGATTCAGCAACCGAACGCCTCCAAGAGAAAGATGAGCAAGGGTTTGCGAGATTCCATCCACTTCAGACATACGCACATACACTCGACACGGGATCGATAACGGCCAAGTATAAAGAAGAACGTGATAAACGTTTGCGTAGCGATGGCGTTGCGCAATTCAAGGAAGCCGAGGGTACGCTCGCTCATTTCAAAGAAGATCCATGGGCGGCTCCTTTGGTGAGGGCCAAGATTGAAAAGACAGTAAAGGTCTTGGTAGTGGGAGGTGGATTTGGAGGCTTGGTAACGGCGGTGGAATTGAAGCAACAGGATGTGCATGATTTTGTTCTTGTCGAGAAAGGTGCGGGTTTTGGTGGAACCTGGTATTGGAATCAGTATCCCGGTAATTCAATTTCTTTTTCTTTTACCATAGCACAACCAATATAGATAGTAATATGCTGACGATGTTCAGGAGCTAGTTGTGATGTAGAAGCCATGATATACCTACCCTTCCTTGAGGAAACGGGTTATGTTCCCGTAGATAGGTATTCGTATGGGCCTGAGATCCGCGCTCACTGCAACCGCATTGTTCAAAAATGGGATCTTCTACAACATGCACATCTTCAAACAGAAATTACATCCATCTCATGGGACGGTACTCTTCTACGGTGGCACGTTCATACCAACCATAATGACCACTTCATCTCGCAATTTGTTGTCCTGGCGACTGGCACGCTCCACAAACCTCAGCTTCCCGGCGTTCGAGGAATCGGGAACTTTAAAGGTCATCATTTTCATACCGGCCGTTGGAATTACCAAATAACTGGTGGGGACTCCAATGGTAACATGGAGAAGTTGCGTACCAAGACGGTAGGTATCATCGGAACGGGGGCTTCTGCTATTCAACTTGTGCCCAAGCTTGCAGGAGATGTTAAAAAGCTTTACATCTTTCAACGAACGCCGTCAACAATCTCGGTTCGAGACAATTGCCGCACTGATCCTTCAATGTTAGCTACTTTTAAACCAGGGTGGCAGAAAAAGCTTCTCGACGATTTTGCAAATATACTACAAGGCGATCTCCTAGATGACGATGTCGAATGCACAGCACTCGAAGGGCTCGAAGCCTTCACGATGCGAACCATACACTCAGAAGCCAAGAAGGCAGGAATCATGATAGAGGAAAGAGAGCTGCCGGAGCTCTTCAAAGCGGCTGATTTCAGACTCATGGAAGGTATTAGGAAGCGAATTGAAGATACGGTGACAGACAAACAGACAGCAGAGAAACTAAAGCCCTGGTACGCATTTATGTGTAAAAGACCGGCATTCAATAATGACTATCTCCCTACATTTAACGAGCCGAACGTGGAACTTGTAGATACGAATGGGCAGGGAGTAAGCCATTTGACTGAGACTGGGGTGGTAGCGAATGGAAAAGAGTATGCAGTTGACCTACTGATTTACTCGACCGGGTTTGAGTTTGAAGCCGCCTTCACTTTGTTCAGGCGAACAGGTATTAAACTGGTAGGCAAAAAAGGGCAGACATACGATGAAAAGTGGAACGAGTGTGGGCCGAGTACTCTGTTTGGCATTCATGTTCGTGATTTCCCAAACGTGTTCAACATTGGGCCTGCGCAGGCCGGTGTCACAGCCAATCAGACACATACGATTAACGTTTCTGGAAAGCACATAGCTGAAGTCATAGCCAAGTGTTTGAGGGAGGGAGTCGAGGCAATCGAACCATCAGAAGATGCGGTCGAGGACTGGGGAAAGCAAATTGAAGAAGGGAGTAGTATGAGAACCGAGTTTCATAAAACATGCCCACCTGGATACTACAACAGACAGGGTAAGCCGGAGGACATCCCTGTGAGATGGGGGATTTATCCAAAGGGCATTGTTAAGTGGGAGGAGTTGTTAAGAAATTGGAGGCTAGAGGGGAGTATGAAGGGAATGGAAAAGATGGTACTCCGCGAATAGTAAAGTACATATTTAGAGTATATCTAATAGACAGCTGTATTACTGAAATTGTTACCTGCGGCTCTTCTCGAGAGCTAGTTCCTTAGTGTATTTCACAACTAGATTTATGGTCTCTATCTTCTAGTTGCTTGTTCTTACCAGCGTGTTGAATTCGATTAGTTGATTTGATTAGTAGCACCCAATTAATTTAACTTAAGTAGTGAAAATCACTAATTGACTTAACTCGCCAAGTAATCGATTAACTTATGATTAACTCGATTAGTGTTGGCCCGATATCTACTAGTACGCCCGGCCTCGCTAGTTGGACTCCGGCCGCTCGGTTTATTTACGGGGACTTGGCCGAGTGCCCCTCTATTAGGTATAGGCTATTTTCTTGTAGGTTTCTTGTATTATAGTTACGTTATATATAGCTACTCGAGTACTAATCGATTAGTTAAATCTATTAATTAACTTAACTTAATAGAATCTACTAATCATACTTATTTAACTTAATTCGATTACTACTCGAGTAGCGTTAAGTAGTTGATTAGTTTTGTTGACACGCTGGCTCTTATACTCGCTTGAATTAGCAATAATAAAGAGAAATTTGGAATTGTTTGGAAACGAATAATTTATGGTCACAGTTGAGGTAGAATAATAATATGAGAAGAATAGCAAGCAATAAATATACGAGGCGTCCTATACAAAGTTCCCGTCCGTGTTATCGGTCCTAACAAATTAGAAAGCTGTAACATATCGCAGATTCCGCCAGGGGCCTTCGGCAACTACAGTAAGACAGGAGTCTTTCCCAAGGGCCTCGTATTAAGATAGAAGGGAACGTTCTATAATAATTGCCACCAGAAAGCAAAAGGCGCTATCCTGTTCTATACCAAACTTTTCATTACTCTAGACACCTAACTTGGAACAATTTTATGCTACAGCCCTAGCATAATTAAGATATGTACATATGAATACTCGCTCGTTGGTAAATTTTGATAATTTGGGGATACATCCAAGATATTTGTGTTAAGTCTTAGATAACTTTAAAATACTAGTTTCATGTTACTAGCTCTTAATGAGCACAATCCTTTGTAATTCTATGTTCCGATTTCCGTGATACCTAACATGTGTGTCCATTCTGATTATATAATGATCCAATGCTTCCAGGCTAAGCAAATAAATATTCGTTGCGCTATGCGATGTCTGATAGCCACTGGAAAGTGTCGAATCATAAAGTGGGGGAATATCAGTTAATGACTCTCAAAATAGGTTCTGAGGTGGCGAGTCAAATCGTTCGATGGTTCGGATTTGCTTCTCAATATGTATAAAAGGCGCGTCTGTTCATTCCTTCTATGTGCTTTCCCTGACGAGCTTGTTCGGCATTTCATAGCAGGGTAAAAGGCTTCAGTGTTTTCGTATCTGTCGGTTCGCCGGTCAGGTTTTAAAAAAGACGCATGTGAGAGATTCGCTTTGTGAGAAGCGGGGCTTTTTATAAGATTTGAGACATCTGTTAGCTAGTAAGACAGTTTTAAGACACTTCGAAATTAAGAACTTTGTTAAAATGTATTATTATTTCGAGAATGAAAAGTGTGCGTTACAATCATATATATATATATATATATAGAATCGTGTTCTAGTTGCCGAACGGTAACAAATAAATTCTCAACCGGAAGCTTAGATCACCATTGAATTCGCGAAAGCCTTCCTGACTTGCTCCGCCGGCCAAGGGGCCACAACTGGAACTTTGACAGCCCCAGCGACGGTGGCCGGTGCAATTTTGGCCACTTGTTTGTTCTTACTACCGCTGTTCGCCTGAATCTGAAGGTTGTGCGACTGAGGAGGGCTATTTTTTCTTACGGTGGTAAGCTGCATATGAGGATTAGTCTTCGCAATCACTCGAGCAGACTATGAAAAACTCACCCCCTGCATATCCAGGCGGAAATGGTCGTTACTATGGATAGTTCCCGCCTTTTTTGGAAGGCCCTCAAGTTTGGCTGCTGGAATTGTGGCGATGAACTCTTTGAGGGCTTTTGATACCCCCCTCGAAGCTATGGCAAAGCCAAGGAAGAGGGAGAGAAGCAAGACGAGATAATTGATTTGCATAGTGACAGAGTTGCCGGTAGTTGTTGAAAATTGAGATACAAGACAAGATGTGAAAATAATGAGACAAGAGAGTGTTAATAATGAGACAAAAGAATGATGATAATGAAACAAGAGAGTGTTGATAATGAAAAAAAAGGGATGGAGAGTAACGTATAACAATGTGGCCCTGTGCATTATATCCCTTCAAGACTCCAGAATTAAAAAAGAAAGGTGCAGTCAAAGTGGAGTAAAAGAGCCTACTTTTACCACAACTACCCCGCAAAACAAGGTCGCTTAGCGAACAAGAATAGGGTCCCAAGCGTTTGAGCCTCAATGTGACACAGTCATTGGATCCACTTGCACCCTCTCTGACCCCACGTCTGTTTTGTGCTTCGTAAATCTACTTCATATAATTTGTAACTCTGTGGTCTAGAAGGGATACTTTCAAACGACACTTTCGCCGTCGTAGAAAAGCATCAATTGCGTAAAGTCACCCAAAAAAGGAAATTGCATGTTAAAGCAAATGAGCATTCCTTTGGGAATATTTGCTCACGTCAGAGCAAAGAAGCATTTTGGCAGGCGCTTTATCCTACTTCAGTATAGATTTTACCCACTTAAAGGGGGTGGACAACTAAGAGTCACACCATGCTAGCTCAATAAGATCGACGTACTACTTTACGATGTAGATCCACTCTTATACGATGTATCTTAGCTAAAAAAAAACAAGGGTTTCAGCTAATAGAACGCAGATTTGAACTGCTTATTAAGAAAAAACCGTCCAAGGAACAGTATAAAAGCTACTAGAAAGGCCCCTCATATAATGGGTTATAATATGATCTACGTGACATGGAATGACCCTTAGCTGTCCACCCCCTTTGCTCACAGTCTGGTTTACGGGCCAAACAATGCTTTATATTACTGTGGCCCCCGAGCTTGATTAAGGGTGCCTCGTAGGAGCACAGATGTCCATAATACACTGACATCTTCATAACATCTTCCCCCAAAAACGAAGTCCTGGCTGGGCAACGTTTCCAAGCAATTGAGCCTCGACGCATTTTCGTATCCACTTGTATCCATTTATATCCACTTTGCGAACACGTTCTTCTTGTCGCTCTCGTATTTGCCTGTACGATCGTTTCTAGTTAAGTTGACCAATCGTACTATCTATATATACTTCGTGATTGCCCTTTCCCGCCCTTCATTTGGCTGCTCCACGATCTCGGCTTCTATACGTGCCTAACTACAAGTACAAATCCTTATCTCTTTAGCCCTCCACCCCCCGGCTCTACTATCACAATTTTCTCACTTGACTCTACAGGTAAGGAAGTAGATTTACAGTAATAACAATAGCTAGTTTGTTCTTTTTATACATAAAGTAATAGGTAGAAAAAGAATCGACAAGCGAGTAGATAAACAATACAGAAATATCAAAATATATTTACCTTGTTACCTATGTATGGAATATTAACAGCTGCGTACGAATGATCCATTAACATTTCGACTGTTTTTCGACCTGGTCTAATGACACCCAGGTGTTTATACAGTAGACCATTGACCCGTGCTCCCACAGGGGTAGGTTGGGGACGAAGCTAGGCACCTGCACCCCCACGCCCAACCCAACCTATGTTTAAGACTTTTGCATCTCGTTTCACACTAATCGTCAACCTAAATCCGGCGACTCTAAATTGCAGAAGTGACTTCGGCCATTTTTAGATGACCCTTCACTAACATCACGTCCAAAGGGAAATAAATGAAAGAGGTTGCAGGTGTTAAGATGCCTGGCCAGGGCAACAACATCTCGGCCCACGCAGGCAAACATTTCGACGCAACACCCAAATATGTCTCGCAATCGCCAGGACGGCCTCGAATGGGAAGCGAGGGTCATCGGTCTCGTCCCGCGGTGGTCCAAAGAACCCTCGATTGAGGCTATCGAGCACGTTTGCCGCCAGCAACTCGTGATCCCGCCCGCGGAGTCCTGCACTGTCTCGCTCCGCACTGAAGATGCGATGCACAGGCTCTACTCGGTGTCTGGTACCGGCCGGTCGATGTTGATGAAGGTCTTACTACCAGTATATCCTCACTTCAAGACCCGCGGGGAGGTTGCGACGCTGCAATGGGTGCGAGGCCATACCAACATCCCTGTCCCAACCGTGGTGGCCTTTGACGACAGCAACCACAACCAAATTGGCTTCGAATGGATTCTCATGGAGATGATGCCCGGCATTCCAGCCCGCCGGCGCTGGCGAACCCTGGCGATGGAGAGCAAAATGGCCATGGTGCAGCGTCTTGCCGAGTTTCAGGCCGAGTTGTCCCGCCGCGGCCAATCGGACGATGCGTTCAAGAACATCGGGACTCTGGATTTGGAGGCTGAGGGAGCTCTCGCAACCGTCGTCCCTGGCCGGCTGGTCACCGACGAGTTGTACATGCGCAATCGCCTCAACTACGACCTTCCCCGAGGGCCCTTTCGCTCGAGTCATGACTGGTTGCACGCCAACCTGCGCCTCATCATCCTAGAGAAGGCGGCGATCATCAAGCAGGGGAACCATGACGATGCTTCAAGCGAGGCTGGAAGCGATGCGGAGGATGCAGAGGATGCAGAGGAAGTTCAGGAAGCAGCCCAGCGACTCTTGTCCCTCCTTCCCAACATCTTCCCTCCCACCCAGGAGGACGCCGTAGCGACGGCTCTCTACCACGATGGCCTGACCTTAAGCAATATTCTACTGAGCGAGCAAGGTGAGATCACGGCTCTTCTTGACTGGGAGGGTGTCTCGGCGATGCCAACCTGGATGGCGACCATACCACCTCGCTTTCTCTCGGGTCAAATACGGGAGGATGAGCCGATCAAGGACGAGTACATGAATGAAGAGACGGGCGCGGAAGCTTCGGATGAACACAGTGACCCGGACAAACTGGACGATGAGGGCAAAAACGAACTCTACTGGATCCATCGGATGGAGTATGAGACAACGCAGCTTCGAAAGAGATATCGAGTGAGGATGAGGCAGCTTTGGCCTGACTGGCCCGAGGAGGAGAACTATAGACAAGTGGACTTTTTCGAGGCATTCCTACAATGTAATGGAGAGGTTTTTATCAAACAAGTGAATCAGTGGGTTGATCGCTTGGAAAAAGGGGATTCAGTTCGATGGACGGATATGTTTGAGACAGAATTTGGTGTATAAACTAAGCTCGTAGTGATTCTGATGTGGCATTGAACTAGAAGACTATTCTACGATTTGAAAAAGTGAATTTCTTAACACGCAGATCAGACGTTTTATTGGTAGACCCGCGCTATTATGAAGATTACTAAGACCGGTTTATTCTCCCTAAATAAATAAAACTCCCCCTTATAGCCGGGGCTTTGGCTATGTTATTCCTCCTCAGATCCCTCACCGCAGGGTGTGTTTTCGATTTAGACACAGTTGTTCTCAGGCAGTAGCAAATACACCTAGAAGCTACCTTCCGTAGCACCAGGGGCCGTCAGAATTCCGTGCGCAGTCCTGGATTTTAGGCGAAAACACACCAAAAACCACGTTTTCACAACCCTGTAGCTCTACAAATTTATAATAGAACTATAAGCAAGACCTCCTGTATTAATTCTCTAGGGTACTTAGATAAAGTGTATATACGAAAGTTTTCTTAATATCCTAATACTCTAAGAGATATTCTAGTAGAAAGTTATTCCTTAGTAAATCTACTAGTAAATCCGCTATATTTATATTATAATAGAAGCAGCCCTCTTATTAAAATTCTAAATAGTACAAGTTGGAGCTAGTATCTATCTTATCTAGAATTACTAATACTAGAGAATATAGATTACTTGTTAGTTTATTATAATTTAGTAAAGTAGGGTGTTTTTGGTGTGTTTTTGGTGTGTTTTCGGCCAAAATCTGGGGCTGCGCACGGAATTCTGACACCCCTTGGTGGTAGGGTACATTCCAATATCTATGTGGAGCTAAATTTCCAATTGTCGGGCAGTTCGAAACTTCTCCGTGTGAATCGTTCACTCCACTCCTAATGTCAATTCAAAACGAAATGAACGACCAAAAATGAATGGTTCATGAAGGAGGATTGGCAGGCTTCACTACATAGCCGACCTTGCTATACACCCTTTTTGTGATCATTGAAGAGCATTATAGTATAGCATTTTCACCCGCAGTAAGTCTTTCTTCGACAAAGCATACTCTCAAATGTAAATAGAACTTGCAAATACAGTACGAGAACTATACAAAACGAGTTTAGTAAACATATCCCGGAATTTTCAACACAAGGGCGCGCATATGGCTCGATGAAAGATCAGAAGCGAGATTGCCTATATTAGCTGAAACAAGCGCGAGCAACTCGTGTTTTCTGGTGCAAGGACAAGAATCAGAACATAGAAGTTGGCAGGCAGGGCTCACAGTATGTTGCCGTTCCTCCTATGACTAATGGAAGGCTTGAGGGCATCGTACTTTCATTTAACGGACTGCCTGCCATAAAACATATCAAAAGAGCACATCCCGATACTTGAAAGCTGGCTTCAGCGTCAAGGAAGCCATTGATGGACCAAATGATGTTAGTGTCACGAATCACGTGTTCACGTGATGTCTGTTCCTAATAAGGTTCAACCCCAGAGCAGACTCGTCCAGGAAGTTATAGTAAAACAAGATCGTTTAGGCTAGCTAAGCGATCCAGGGATTTCTTTGTATCTAAGTTGTCACGTGATCAAAATAGCTACGGATAGCCAGCTATTTGTGGGAACATAGAATAGCCAGCTATCTACAGCTATTCTATGAGGACGAAGGTTCTATATAAGACTGATAGGCTAGCTAAGCGATCCAGGGATTTCTTTGTATCTAAGTTGTCACGTGATCAAAATAGCTACGGATAGCCAGCTATTTGTGGGAACATAGAATAGCCAGCTATCTACAGCTATTCTATGAGGACGAAGGTTCTATATAAGACTGGCACGTCTGCCATTAGATAGGAGCTTCGTGCTCAACTTAGTTATCAATCTTATCATATTAGTTTGACATCTTTGATACAAGTAACGAGTTCACTTCCAAGTGAACAACCCGATAGTTCTTCTTCTTATCATAGCATACCAACCAGCGAACACCCAGCCAAGTTTAGTTAGCCAGTTTGAATATTCGTTACACTTATCCGCCTATGTCCGTTCCGTATATATCCGACATATATAATTATTCTACATATTAGTATAAGCTATAACTATTTAAATATAAAATAGTTCTAAGACTATTTTACTTATAGATAGTCTTAGATTTATAACTATATTTTATTTTAATAGTTTAATTTCTAAATAGTCGTAAGATAGTCGTAGGACGGTTCTCGGACGCTCCCGGGACGCTCCCGGGACGTAGCGGAAAAGTGCCTGTGCAGGAGCTGTATGCAGGGCGCAGAGCCGCAGCGCACGGGCCACATCACGCACTCGGTACTGCTCCCATGCGCTCAACCCTAACGCTATAAAAATATAAGTGTTAAATTCAGTCGATTCAGCGAAACTTGACGGGCGCGCACTTAGGGCAGCCCGACATGTGAGGCTGGTGGCGGGCGTGGAGGGGTCGGGTGCCGCGCGCATGGTACATGCCCGTAGGCGCCCGGGTATGGGCATGGGCTAAAGCCTGAGGTGCCCTGCGTACCCTGCTTACGTAATCATATATATACCCAGGGGTGGGATTTGGGACGGGTTTGGGACAGGTTTAGGATGGTCCCGAGACGCTCTCTAGATATACTTAGGACTATCCTAGAACGCTCTTATATTTTAAAAACTATTCTTAACTATTTTATTAATATAACTATCTAATATTTCAAGACTATCTTTATATATAAACCGCCCTCCTCCTATCACCTGGCGGTTTTATCCCTAGGACTAGATTCTACATAAAACCCTCTTTCGAGAGTCTCTAGATAGTCTAAAAAACTCCGCTTTCCCCTCTAAGGTAGTTATGCATATCGCTGTACTTGACGAGCAGGTCCTTTGATTGTTGGTCGTTTAACCCCTTCGTTTCAAGTCCTATGGCACATCGATTATACAGTGACTATTACCAAATGAAATGGGGAATGATCATGTTTCATTTAAACAGTGTGTTACACGGACGACGTTTACAGTGAGTACCTTATGTGGCTTGCTTCTTGTAGGTCATACAGCCAGCCTGATATCCCTGTGTTGGTATTGGTGCATACGGTGTGAGTTGGGGGGGAAGGGGGGAGGCGGCAAACAGCAGCTGATAATTCTGCCCCCTTTTTTATTCACCATCTTTCCCTCTTCACTGACTCAATCCTGTGTCACTCTTAGCTTTCAAACTCTGTATACTGTTAATCAATGGCAATGAAATACCTGGAAAATCTTATGAACCCGTTTTTTCAATCATACCTAACTTTCCATCAACCTTTCATCTGAACTCACGGAACTTGGCGCCTAAACCTTACATTCCGCTGACTGCGGGCCCATAATATGCCTACCCCAAAACAGTCGGAGTCAGTAACTTAATCCCCTTTATAGAAGTTTCCAGTTCACGTGCTCATTAATGTCTAGCATCTCACATTCAAGGCATCGACACTTCAACCAGTCACAGTTCTTCAAAGCACTGGTTTGAACCTGGATGGATCTTGGGCGGAAAAGATAATTTCAGAGTTCATTAACAAAGATGATATATGTAACCTAGACTTCTTGCAGGTAGTTATTGTCACTCATGCAAGCTCCGCTTCTGCAGCTGCCAACCTCGGTTTGGAGCCTTCTGCGATCGCTGTTCCGGTAAAACATGGAATGCAGAACTGGGAGTATGCTGGCGTATAGTCATGGAAAGCTGGGCCATACTTTACTGAAGGAGAAAACCTCTATCAAGCTTGGAGACTGTGCGAAGATACTTCAGAAGGATTCTATTTGACTGCTATTCCCCATGCAGAGCATGATTCATCGTCAGTATTCCCACCTATGTAAGAGCTCACAAATTAACTAAGGCCAGTTATCGCCCCTTTGATGTGTCTGTCTTCTCCCCTGCGGGTACTGTTGCTCGCATTGTAGTAAAGGATATATACAACTTGAAAGGTGTAGAGACTGCCGGATCGAGCAGAAGTTACAAGCAGCTGTACCCGCCTGGTGCTGAATCTGCATCCAGCATCCAGAACTTGATCGATCTCGGAGCTATCATCGTTGGCAAGACGAAGACCACAACATTGGCTGACCGAGAGATTCCGACTAGATTCCGGCTGGAGACTGGATTGATACGCACGCCTTCTTCAATCCTCGAGGAGACGGGTATATTGTCCCAGACGGTTACAGGTCTCGAAGTGGCTCTGCTCTTGCTTCCTATGACTGGCTCGATTATACTATTGGACCAGACAATTAGTTTGCGTAAGGCAACCAACTCTTGCTCTACTAACTTCAGGTTTAGCAAGCGGGAGTATTCGATGGCTAGCTGCTCATGCTAGCTTCTTCGGATTTACACCCATATACGAAGTCATGCCCATGGATGGCATCATACCTAGTAGCCGGTTTGTCGACCGTCTTTCCAACAGATGTTCTATACTGATATGCCGTATTTATATAGGCAGTTCGACGAGCTAGCATTCCTCACACGTGATGTAGTATCTACCCTCTCCTTTGCACACAACTGGTTTTGTGCTAAACGGTTCTCTGAGCCCTCGGTGGGTTTACTAGCTCCGCCATTTTTGGGGGGGACTAACCAAACACCTATACAGGGGAGAAAACCAATTCAATTATTGTATCCACTTGATTATACTGATCCATCTCGAGAGCGTGCTATGTCTACTAACAAAGAAGTTTTAGATGTAATCCAAGATTTTGTTAAAAAGTTGGAAGTCTACCTAAATGTTAAGCGAACGCCCGTTGATTTCTTAAAGCTTTAGCTCGAGAAATCTTCTCATAAATCCACTGAGACTTTTGACGAATAATTTTTGGAGGCAAGCCCTCTCTCTGTTCGCATGTGTGAGGGTTGGAACCCATGATGGAGGCTCGGGCCATGCCCTCGCTAAGCACTGACCAAAGTCCCCGCTCAGCATTGGCCATTGCTCCACTGCTAAATTGGTTTCTCCTTTTCTACACTTTTCTACTCTATTCTTTTGACGTTACGTATTTGTCAAACAGTTTCTTGGAAGACTCCAGAAACTCTTCCTCTCTCTATATATAGAGGAAGAGATTGCATGTATGTAGTCTTCACGCACTTCTTAATTGAA